TCTTCATTGTGGTGTGTTACATTGACCCTAAGTTTTTCTATTTCCAATTTCTCATGTTTTTATCTTCGAAGTCATTCCTTGCTGCTCCACTTCAAGTGCATCATAGTAGCTACTTTACATCAAAATATTTACATGAATGATGAAGTTTATTTTTCCAAATTAGTATTCGAATAAGTGAAAAAGATGGACGATATAGCATCTGGGAGAGAGTTTGTTTCGTAAGCCTAAATAACTGTTATTCTTTCAGTAATAAAACGTGTCAAATATTTTGATTTAACGACTTAACTTTTCTGGAGCCTTAGTTTATCATTTTTCTTTCTGAGTTTTGTATTTATTTGTCTTATTTGTCTTATTTGTTCTTGTCTTATTGGTCTAGAATTGTAATGATTACATAAAAAATTAATGAAATAAAAAATGATGCATTAAATACGAAGACCATTATTTGATACTATCTTAGGCATTGTTCTGTTAAACTAAAAAATAATCAAATTCCTAGAAACACTTCTCAGAAAATGAAGTTGTCTTCCTGGAAGTTGTTTAGATAACAGGAACTTTTTAAAATAGAAGAGTATAGAAATTGAATAAATTATAAAATTCCTTAATGTAATTTTTTTAGATGCCTTCTGTAGCTGATGTTTGACGTGACGTATTTAGTTATTGGCGTCAGAGACCTTTACAGTTTCAAATTTCAGGTGTAATGTCATGCTTTACATAGTGGGACCCTTTGCCTGGGGTCAGAATGTGCACGTCCTCCTTTTTTTATCTAGGTCCTTCGTCGAAGGAAATTTAGGCAATTATCTTTCAGGACACAATGCCTACTCAATTGGGTTTTATCTTCGTGCTTGCAAATTTGATTACATTTAGTGGTACTTGGGCATTGCACCATTAATCTGTGAGGACTAGTTGCAGACTTCGCGTGTCTCAGTGAGAGTGCAGCTGGGGAATTAAAATGTCTATGCCTTTGTGGCCAGGCATATTGTCATGGTAGGCTAGTGAGGTGGAACTGCTAGGAGCCTTCCCCCGTGTCCCTCAAAAGATGAACATATGTTGTCACTCTTTTACTCATTGCATGGCGGGAGAAGTCTCGTTTCTTCCAATCAAAAATATATCCTGCAAAACATAGGCTAGTGTGATAATTTTTGTTGCCAAATGATTTTATTGTTTTCCTAAAAGCCCTTCACTTATAACACATGTATAAGCTAGTTTACTTCTGATTATTTTTGTAATCAGAGAGAAGGTACTATTTCTTGTAATACCTCATATTTCATGGCTTCAATTACTAGCTGTGTGCAGTTTAGTTTTCCTTTGGGTAAATTATTTGACAGTTTTATTTCTATGATATCGTTCATTAATTATTATTGATATGTGATTAAAAACTCTTGTATTTCCGCTGCAGTTGGAGCAGCGAGAGACTTTTCTTAGGAAGATTGCACGACGGCAGGTCTTATTAATGTCTGGGGCAAACTTTCCTTTGGAATCTTTGTAATTTTATTTTTTTATAATTTTATCTGTCTCTTATCTATTGAGTATATTGTTTTAAGGTGTGCATGAATTATATTATTTCAATGGTGTTAAGCCTTGAATGTTTTCTTTTTGAGGATGTTATTTAGGTGGTACTTGAGGCGTAGTTTTCCTTTAAAATAAATTAAACTCTCCAAATTTCGTGTGCACAACTACTGCTTGGACGGCATTTTTAAAGCTAACGATGACATTTGCAGCAGAAATTTAGGAATAAATGGCTTTTAGATGGTCGAACTTTAAACTTTATCTGTTTACCAAATTAATCATTTGAGTTTATTTGAAATGGTTAGTTGTTCGTTGTCTTATCTAGGCAAACATGAAAGTGCCAATATTGATCGGATAGTCGGACTTGATATTCAGAGGTTCTGGTACCTAATAGTATTCAGTACCAGATGGATCGATACATATGGATGACTTATTCAACACATCACTTTGGTTTTTCAAACTGGAAATCTATTGGGGACTGTAAGGATGACTGAACTTTATTCGGGACATCATCTATTAGTTTTGATCGAACAAATCCATTTCTTCAATTTCATTATTAATAGTACTTGAAATTCTGAAGTGCCAGCAAAATTTAAGAGAAAACATTATCTGTGTTTTTCCTTGGGTATTATCTAGAAAGGGTTCTAATATGATTTTTTTATTCTCCCTGATCCATTATTCTTTGAAATCCCTAAACTTAAGTACTGTGAAGTGATTGTTGAATCCCTTAAGAGATACTGAAGTAAATATATCGGCTATTTCGTTGATATTGTGATGGTATTAAAAATATATCGGTTACAGAATCAATATTTCTTTAATATATATGCATATATTGATTGCATAAATCACGTGATTGAACTATGTGCATCGCTGCATATTCATTAATACGCCACCAGAAAGAATGTGCATTCGTACATATAATACATTTTCTGAATCAGTTGATCATTTCCCTATCCCCCTCACAATGAATTCCACTTTTGTGAGAATCAGGCGTTTCTCTGTTAAGCCCATAAAGAGATATAACTAGCTTTTTTTCTGAGCTTGTATCACTCGAGATATCTAATCATCGTGGGAGCCGGCAGTAAAAGAGAAACACTGTAGGATTGGCAAAATACTGACTGTTATGGCCTGGGTCATTAGATTTCTAGCAAGATCATTGCTTGGTATGAGAGGAATAATAGAGAAGGCATAGCTTGCCATGGACCTGTAAGCAGCGTCCAGGGGAAAGGGGAAGAAAAAGTGAACCTTTCCCTGGCAGCTCCCTCTTCCTAATATCTTTTCTGCCTTGGCAACGAGCTTTTGATGACCTCGCCCATTATTGAGTTTGGACATGTTTTTTGTTCTTTTGTGATTTAGTGATGGTTAAAGATATAAGTTTATTTCGTTATTAACTGAGTGTTAATTTTAGTTTGACCCACCCAGCCAGTTTGGCCGACCGATCTAATTTTGACCTTTATAAACAGAATAGTCCACCATAAAGCTGTTATAAAACGGGATTTCCTTGCAGTCATGCACGTGCGAAACCACATTACAGGTAGCATGATAATTAGCTGATAGTGCTGGCCGGTTTGGCACAAAAATAAGATCAAATTGGGTGAGATCCATTTTACCTGAAACCTTTTGACAGCTAGAATAACTTTTCTGAGGATTAGTAGAGATAGATAGAGTGTAACACCTGATCTCCATTTTTAATTCTTTGCTATCATTGGGTAACGTGGAATTTGGTTACTTCTGGTATGGCAGAGTAAGGATAATAGGAAAATGACAGTAGGTTGCTCATTTCCCATGAGCTGACGATCCATTCCTCATGTAGGCGTAAGATAGTGTAATGGAGGCAAAGTGACGAGGATTCAGAGTAAGCGTTGAATCAGCAATAAATATGCTGAAGAAAACTTCAAATGACGGTGTTTTCTTTTCCAAACAATCATTTTGTCAATATTGAATAAGACCTAAAACAGGATTTTGAATCCAAAGAAATCTTTTGTGGCAGGGTGGAGTACTAACCATACTTATTGACGACAGTGATGATTTTTTCATTTTGACTGCTGTTCTACCCATCTTCCACATCTGTACGTTGTTTTTTTAACGTGGGATTTATCCGGATCTGTACACCAGAATCCTTGGTTCCGCTAACAATGAGTATCTCGCGACGTGTTTTTCTCTGAAGCACTATGTTACACTGATTCTAAGAGGAAAAAACCGAAGCTTGGTGCAGTATGGCCAATCAACCGCCTCTTCAGTAGTTCCCTGTTGTTTAATATTTGTACAGTTAGTTGTGTAGACTATATACTGGGCCATCAAATGGAATTTTTTAAATCCAAATTCAGTATGGTGCATATTCATGTGCATACATATATGTATATATCAATCTAAATGAGATAAGACTACAGGGCCACTATACGATTTTATATGGGTCTACACGTTGACTGTATGATCTTGCCAATGGAGCACCAATCTCATAAATTTCAGCTTCTATTATAAAATGACCGTCTATACAATACACCACTATGCTGGAAAATTCTCGAGACAAACATCTCAATGAGATGTATCGGAACTCTATTTGTTGCCTAAATTTTTCATTCAATAAATTTAATATCATTTTCGGTATTTACAGATATAAGTTTACTGACTCTCTGCATGGTGTTGTTTTCATCAATAAAGTCCCTGTAAGTCTAAAATCATAAGGCTGGGTTTTGTTCTATAGGATCGTTCTCATTTTTAGAATCAAGCCTTCCGGTACTCTGGAGATTAATAGTGTACTTTTACATTAGAGCATCTTTCTTTCTATCCGCCGCAGGCATCTCGTTCGGCAGATAGACTTTTTGGTTCTTTTGTTTTAGATTTTGTTAAATGGTTTTTTGTCTGTTCACCGTCTATTGGAAAATAATTTTAGTCCTCAAGAAACACAAGTATTGGAGGCATCTCATTATAAACAATAATTATATAACTTCGGTCATTGGAAAATAATTTTTGGTCCTCACCACTATTTTTTGAGGTCATAATGTTTTCCGTTTAATATCATAAATTATAATTCATCATTTATGGGCATTCTATTCGCGGTAAAGGGAGGGGTGTCACAATTTAAATCATAACTTTGGGCCTCCATAGAGTTTATTTAGTACAGAATATGACACAATAGTCATCTTTTAGCCACTGTGATGTCCCTCATCTTTAATAGCATGTGCATTAGTAAGATGGAAGATCTACGAGCACACGTAGATCATGGGTCGTCTTTAGTTTGATACATGAGGATTCGTAGAGACGAGGAGGCATCTTCTAAATAAGGAGGAGATTTTTATTGGCGTAAGGAGGAATAAGTGACTATGATCAAGCCGCTGCTCTACAAATCGACCATGCTACTAGCCCAGGAGATGAGGATGGAACACGTTACAAGAAGGCGATTAGTCTATGAGCTTCGTTTACACGATTAATCATACAAGTGCTTCCTCACCTTTCTTTTCCACAGGACCGAAGCAAAGGCTTCACCAGCTCTTTCATACGTTGCTCTGCTTGTACAACTTTGTGTCGAGGACCTGCTTCCCGCACATGGCACAGACTCCTGCACACAAAAAGGTGCAGGCGTCAGAGTCCGAATCTAGATCATTTTTTACTTTTTTTTCTAAACAACAAGGCAGCCTCCAATCGCCAGAGGCTAATGACATCTCTCATGACAGAGAGCTATAAATAACGATCGCACATTTCTGGTCAGCCCAAGCCATTCTTTTCCTCACTCACTTTCAGAGCCAGTTTTGCTGACAGATCTTTCAACAAGGAGGCTCAGGCTCATCAAGTAGAGAAGCTAGGAGCATATTGGTCCAATCCCGGCAACTACTTCGGAGGGCAAAATAACACAGACGATCTTCGTGGAACCTTCCCGCCAAGTGCCCAGAAAACAGATGAGGCTGATATTTGGACAACACCTCCCCACCCACCGGTAGTGTGTTAGGTACACTAAGGAGAGAGGAACGATCCAATTAGGGGGAGGCAGCACAAGACATCATACCTTTGGAGTAGGCACAGGTATGACAGTATTTTGCATTCTGATGGACTTGCTGCTTACAAATTATGCACTTGGTGCTTCCGTAGGGGGTCCATCTGCAACATAACCCATTTTTATAATCCCCAAGTCTTCAAAGCAATTAAAGAATGCCTAGATGTTACGAATCAGAGAAACAGACACACACTTCAACGGGGGGAAAATGCAGTGCTTTCATATTTAAAAAGAAAGCTAAAGCATAATATAAATAAAAGACCCAAATGCTTGGTAATTCTCAGTCAAGCCATGAAAGATGTACACAGCCGTAATAAACATGTTCCTGACATCAAAGATCAGTAAAACATGACTAATCGGAGAAAAAACGAATCACAGAGGCATTATAGGGAACTTTATCACGCTGTAAATCAGGTAAATAAAATATCAGGTCCGTTAACTCTACTGGTGCACTGACTAGAACTAAATTAAAAAAATAAAAAAACTAGGTATTATTATGCAGATGGCACCAAGCTTTTAAACCTAAACTTCCTCTTTTCTTATTATAAAACTACTGGAGATAGTCGAGAGATATTACCTAGCTATTAGCTACACTACTGGCAACCTAAACTTCTTTTTCCCCGGCTTAGCAATGAAATTCAGCGAGGAAGCTAAGAGATCAGGTCTTCTCGGCTAAAAATTCTTCAGCATTGAGTAATGTCAAACAATTAGCACTGGGTGATACCATTTCTTCAACGAAATATTGACTCTTAGCCAACCTCAAATTGTAGGTTCATCACACCAGCTCACACCTCAAAATGATACAATTCAAGACAACAGTACTAATATCGAACCTGAATCCAGACATGAAAGGTCGTTTTCACGTGAAGGCAAGGTCGTTTTCCAGTGAAACCCTCAGGATTTTATGTCACAAGGGTTTCCATATCTACCAAAAATACGATTTGGTTAAAAATAATCTACTCAAAACTGTCAGCTTCTTTTGGAAGATAGCTAGAAAGAGACTTCCTGAAAATGCCAGGAAAAAAATTCTTCACAAGCCAGACAAAGATGCAGTTCTACCTTGTGACATAGCTCAGGAATCAAGCAATTTCCTTGTGCATAATTCGACTAATAGCCTTGGAATAACGGACCCGGAATGGAGTAATTCGACTACTCAGGAATAAAGTTCTTTTCAGAATGACATAGTCAATATCCGACCAATTTATTGCTTTACCACTCCACAAATCCCCATAGCTAGCAATGCTTTGGTCTATACACACTGAAATACAACAAGAGAAGATTTTACGATAACTTCTGATTGTTATCTGCCTTGATAAACCGTAAGCATGCGTATCAGCCATATAAAAACGTACTTAAGGCATTCTTTTATGTTAAGGGTTTCCTCTAATTTCATGTAATAAAAGGGCATCAATAGGACAGCCATCAGGAAAGGGGATAAAAGAACTCTTCCATGTGATTCTGCAGCAGCAAGTGAGCGTAGCCCTCTTTTGATTCTGCATTGATGGTGAACCAATATGGATCTATGTGCACCCTCTTTTGATTCGATCTTATTGCTTGTTTTCCTCTGTAATTAGGACTGCTTCTTCCTACCACAAATGTCTACATCAGGTGTCTACTTCTCTGATCTTCCCTATTTTTCAAGGAGAAGAAAAAATTTGCCCGTGCCATTCATAACATAAAAAAGTGGAGACGCTGCACTTCTTGTGTCATGGATATCTAATTGGACTCCATAGACAACCTACAGTCTAGCATCTTATTAGATAACGCTCTAACTCTTCAGTCTTTCTCCTCCCTCTGAACACCGTTCGCTGATTTTTATAAATGGTTTGAATGAAATTTATTATAAAAATCTTTTCCCCAATAGGAGACATGATTTCCTTTGATGAAAATTTAATTTCCCCAGATCACGGAAGAAATATTCCTGTTCTATGTTGTCAGAAAGGTGCAATAAGAATCTGTAAAATGATCTAGTCTTGATCCTTCGGTTCTAAAACTATGGATGCATAATGATAACCACTTTCAGAAAACAGTTGTGATCCAAGAGAGGAAACTGACATTCCCCTCTCTTGAGCAACATTACTCGGTTACGTGCACGATTTACGTCCAGCAAGTCTCGGTACCATAGCCTGAGCTCATGGGTACAGGACTAAGATAACCTAAAATCTGACGACGACTGCCAAATCACAACTAATTAAGTCTTCACACAAATAGGGGAGAGACCACCCCTAGCGATCACTACCAGGTTTCAGAACGCCAGAGGAAAAGTAAATACGATGAAAACTCGGGAAGGCGAGGAGACGAGGAACGGACCTGTTCTTCTTGGAAAGGAGCTTATTCTCGTTGATCTTGCGGCCGCCGCTCTCAGTGGTGTTGCTGGCACCCTCTTTCCACTTGTCGGGAACGATCACCTTCGACAATTTTTTCTCGCCTGAAACCCGACGGAGAGAAAAGGGAAGACGAATGAGAAACTCGGAGTGGAATGCAAGATCAAGAGAAAACATAGCGTCAACAGAAGAACGCAGCGTACACTTCTCGCACACCATCGCACGGGCGACCTCCGACCTCCGAGAGAGAGAGAGAGATGCGAACAGGGACTAGTGGCTGGATCTACATAGAAGGGTTACAACTAGGAGGGCCTTCCGGACACTTTTCTCCGACCAACTGAATGGCCCAGGCCCTGTTTTGGCGGCCCAGCCTAATGTACGCCGATGAGGTGTAGTTGGGCCGGGCCCAACTGAAAATCCCGAGGAAGAAGAGGAGGAAATCTTGGACGAGCGTGTTGCGGTGAGCACGAGTTGCCTCCAAAGAAGGTCCAATCAGCGGAGTACAAAAAATTGGCTAAAATGAAATAAGTATCCACCGACAGAAGAAAACATACGATTTGAACATCACCTTTTCTCACACCATGAGGCATCATCATCATCATCATCATCATCATCATCATCATCATTTTTGGCAGCTGCAACTTTTGAGGTCGTTTTCTTATAAAATAGAAGAACATTTTATAACAAAAGGGCATTATTAAGCGTTAGTTCATGGTTTTTCAGTCTCCTGTGTTGACTCTACTTCCACTCATCCTATGCACGTTGTGTTCCTTAACTAGGATATGAATTCACAAAGTAGGATTTGAAGTCATACACTTACTTGCATGTGTCACCTCCCTCGTCTACAAAGATGTATTGAGGAATTCATTATTACATAGAAAACAACTCTCAAAATTAAAGTTGAAGTCATATATGGTCACTTAGAAAGACTAAAATACTGTTTGTATCAATATTTTAGCCCTAGAAAAACTAAAATATTTAAGTGGTTAATTAGCCTTAAGATGGTAGATGGCAAAAATTCATCCCCTTGTAGTGGAATTATCTAAGGGAGTGAGCGCATGGTTTCCTCTAGATCCACTAAGAAGGCAATGACTAAAAAATAGCAATTTGGCAAAGAGGATAACCCAATAATTATATAAAGATGGAAGAAATGACTTGGAGAGCGAAAATCAGCTATAAGATGTAATATGATTAACCATATAATATTTTCCATAGAGAATGATAAATGAAGTCATGAATGGTCAGTAAAATACACTGAAGAGGACATTGAAACTATGAAGTAAATTCAGGATGTTGTAGCCAGTATTAAAACTTTAATTATCAATTCTAGTATGGACCTGGTATTTTTGGAATTTTACTTTATTTGAATAAATTTCATGAATTAACTATCATTTCATTTTTTTTGTTTTTTTTTTCGGCTACATGATGATACCATTTTAGACCCAATAAATCATTTTACCCATCATCTAAATGAACTTGATAATGGTTATATGTAAATAAATAATTTACAAAGATAAACATGTACATGCTACTACTCAACTATTACTTAGTATTCATGTGCACAAAATGAATTACAGCCGAGCTTAAAAAAAGCTCATCATTGCCTTGCATTCATCTATGGAGTTGTTAGACTGCAGAAGATGTTGAGAATACGATATTTAAGCCCTGAATCTACAAGACACAAATCTGAAGGTTCGGATTGTAAAAATAACCACTTATTAACAGCACAAGACCTAGAATGTCAAAATATTAAATCTACAAAGATTGATTAGGGTGATCTTGGAATCTACAAAGATCATAACTATGTCCTTGAATTCACAACGCTTTATTAAATGAACAATGATTAGAATAATGTCCCTTGAATCTATGTGGGTTGTTTGAATTTACAAGTACTCAGAAATATCTCAAAGTGAGAGAAAACTAGTAATATCTGATACGTCTTACAATGTGATGCCTCTTAAATAGATTGAAAAATATATTGGGATACTCAAGAAATCAAACTATATTCAAAACTAAAATCAAAATGACCTAAGAAACATGTTAGCTGCCAAAAACGACCTTGACGTGTTCTCATCTTTGTAGCCTATAATTTCAATCTTTATGAATGCTTGCCTATGGTTATGGGCAATGTGTTAAAAAGCTTTCACCCTTCTCTCTTTTGAATCTTCTGTCATACATTGTGTTACTTGTTTTTTTCAAACAATCATGGTATGCGTGAAAATCATTGTGCCATGTTCCCTATGAATAGATAGACGGCTGTTCTTGATCATAGGTGAATTTAATATATTTTTATTTATTAATATTTTTCCTTTTGATAAGAATTATATGCAAATAATTTTGAGGGAAAGACTTCCATTCGTGAGTAATTCTTGTGTAAATTTTTATTTAAATATTTTGATGTTAACAAATAATCATGGAAAGGTAAAAAGCAATTATTCATAAATATGTTATTCTTGTACTAATGTTTAGATGAAGATCTAAACCATTAGATCTAATCTCATTAGGCACTATGTATTAAAAAGAGTAATTAAAGAGATCCCTAATACTAAAAATTCTTCTTGAGCATGAAAGAAAAAAGATTTTAGAAACAAAAATTGAGAGACAAAGTGTATTGACCCATATGTCAAACAAGCTAGAATAAAAAGAAATATATCTATCCATGTATCAACTTATCTATTATTGAATATAAAACCAATGAGAGGGAAATGTGTTATCCTATGTCTACCTAACTAAAGACAATTTAAATCACTAGAGTAAAAGAAGTTTATGTTCTAGATATCTCACTCGTGTGAGACATCTCAGAACAATTGAACACATATTGGAAGATCTCTATCAAACTGCGACATATCCCCTGACATGTGAAAATGATCACAAAAAATGATTAAATTGAATGGATCATAAGCTTGACTTATACTTAAAAATAATTATATGGAGTATGAATATGTAGATTATTTTGCCCTTAGCAAAATTTACCTGATTTACTTAATAGTAATTCTCACTTGAGTGTAACATAAAATTATCATCCAAACATTAGTATATTGCCCTTTGTCATCAGGAAAATACTCAAGGCTCCTTAAACCAACAAAAGCATGATTAACTATTTTGTCCTTAGTAAACTTCACCCAATTTAATTGATAGTAATTCTCACTTTGAAGTTAACACAAAATTACCATCCAAACATTAGTAATTTACTCTTTGTCATCAAGAAAATACTCAAGACTCCTTGAACCAACAAAAGCATGACTAAGCTTACTAATGTCAACATATATATCTAATAACATTAGTATTCTGAAATTTCATATTATTTTATGTTATTTTTGGCGCACTAGATTATCCATAAATGCGATATGCACTACTTTGTTCTAGCATAGCAAAGCCAAGACCATAATTTCCATCGGAAACTAGCCTTTCATGAAATCCATAACATCAATTATTAAACAAAAGTACAGACCAAAGCTGCCCGTTACTCCAGGTTTCTCTCTAACAAGTGATAGAATAACAAGGGAAATCCAAAGCAGAATGAGTCCCTTCATTTAATGCTGTAACCTAGAGAGAAAGATATATTTTCGATATAATGCTCTTCCTACAACCTTGAAAGCCTCATAGTTTGCTTCAGAACTGGTCGAATGAACTCCTCGTATCCATCAGGTACCACCGTGTCATTGAGGGGATCTCTCAAAGCTTGGGCATATAGAGTCGCGTACACATTCCCATCATAACGACCGAGAGCAGAACCCAGATAATGGTCAGTGTAGTTGAAAGCATCAACAAGGGAGACTGCATTTGGACGAACCTGCCATGAAACCGGAGCCACGGGTCAGCATTGGTACGTTTTTTTTTATCTACTAAGCACCTGAAAAACCGGAAGACCCACCTGGCCATAAAGGGTCCTGAGCTGCTCATTGGCCAGGGTGGCTTGCTCAGGTGTGATGCATCCGGTGGACAGGAACTCGCCGCTGTGCTTGTGAATCAGATGAAGTGCATAGATGAAGCAAAGGATCTGAAGCTGCTCTTTCACTCCATCCCCCGGAATGTCCTGCTGAACCTTCTCGATGAACCTGAAAGATCCACATCACCAGACTCAGCACACGACAATACGCCAGAAAAAAATTGAAAAACGGTCGAAATTTATTGGCTGTCTTAAAGGGAGGACAGTGGGCAAAAAGGAGGGCCTTGTGCTTCATCTGATCCTCACAACCATAGATGAGACTAAAAGAAGGGTTTTTATTCAGTGGTGCAACTCATTAAAACGTGGCCAGAAATTCCCAAAAGACTAATGATAGAATTACCCCAAAAGCACCACTACTTACCTGGAAACCACAATCACTTCGCAGTGAGCTATTGCTGCCTCCACCAGATCAATAGATAATTCAGCAAAGCCTAAGAGTAAAGCTGTAATGTCAGTTATAGCCGTAAAAATGAGCAAGTGACGCATATATCTATAGCATGGATAAGCGCATAGTTACGCTTGCAATAATATAAAATCCAGCGCCTTTCCCAATCTGAAAGCCAATCAAAAGAGAAGAAGAAGCGCCGCATGCTCTAATGCAACAACAGGTGCAATACCTGCTTCTGGGGTAGAGAACTTGCTGATATCTCGAGCACAAGCAACAGCCAACCTAAAAGCTCTAGCTTCAAATGCTTCCAACACGACAGAGGGCTTTAACCAGTCCTCAGCTGCAGACACAACCAAGAATTCTACGTATATGAATGTGTTGATCGCCACTTAAGGAACACTGCATCACTGGTTAAGACGAAAAGTACGTGAACTAGCACTTGATTTGCACTGCATCAAGTGCTCTGCATTGCCCATGTACGTTGTTGTCCCTACTGGCTTTTTCCCAGCAGCCAGTCGAGAAACAGTCTTGACAAGAAACCTTGCAACCTACGTGTGACATCAACGAAGGCCAAATTCATAATTCATCTTTATAGCGCATGATGATGTGGAAAGTGGAAATCGTGAAAATAGAACAATATGCATTGTAATCCTGGCCAAGTTTATTATTCCAAGTCCCAAAAATCACATCATCATTACCCGAATCTCCAGCAGCGTATGATATACGAGACAAAGATTTAGGATCCCAGTCCCATTCTTCTGTAAGATGACGAAACTGAATAGATATCAACTGCATAGCTATGATGTTTAGTCGTTCGTGGATAAGTGCTCCCTTTAGTTTTAGATGACAATATTGCCTCGAATAGGGAATGTTGACTAGAGAACAGTTGCTACTTTAAACAAAACATTTCTCAGAGCGGAACGCTGTTCATAATTGTGCCATCTAATCACAAAAAACCACAAAGTGACTCTCAGAAGATTCCTTCTACCTTGTAGAGCGAGCAAGAGAGCTTCACAAGATCATATTTGGTGTACAATAGTCGAACTGGTTACAGGACGTGATATAAATAAGGAAAAACAATTTTCTAAGAACATCAAACAAAATAACAGCGAAAAAGCACCCCAACTAACTGTTTAATATGCCTTTGTCCCAGAAAATTTATTTTCAGGCTTTGCCAGAAGTTAACAAGAAAAGATGTGGATTCACGAACAAACCTGCAAGAGCAAGACCACATTATCACCTTCATACGTACAGGCTGGAACATAGACAGCAAACAATTCAGGGAGCCCACTGCTACACAAATAACCATGACCACCACAGAGTTTGCGGCATTCCTCAATTGCATCCTGCAATGAAACATTTTGTAAAACGTCATTACAAGATAAATTTTAAAGGAAATCAAAAATGAGCAAGGTCGAAGTTTATTATTCTCAGTAATTGAGTTGGAAACTTTCAGCACCAATAACTATATTAAGAGTCTGTATGTCAGAAACTGTCCGCGCTAAAATTCAAAAAATCGGCATCAGCATGGAAAAAAAACTTAAAATAACTTATGATGTTTGCAAATGAGCCAAAATGAAGGAAAATGAAATTGAAAAGAACTTTTCTCCAACCATGCCCAGATACTGACAGACGTACAAACTATCTATTTCCGAATGATAGGACGTTAATGGCATTGAAACATGAAATATGTCGTACACAATTCATATTTCATGTTTTACTTTAGTGATAGTAGATGAAGATAGAAGTAAAAAGAACTTCCTTAGGACCGAGATACGGTAATTTGGATCCTTATCTTAAGATGGCCAGCGTTCATATTCTGAATAATCATCCAAGGCTCAGGCTATTCAGATATACATCTAGCGTTTTGAAGCAGTCCACAATGCAAACGTCAATGAACGTGCACCATCAATTCAAAGAGGTACAAATATCGTCCACATTTTCTTTCCAGGGAAGAATGCAGCTGTTGTGAAAGTACATTATCTGGGTTGCTATCGTTTGGTGAACCGCCAACAATTATCCGTATGAGATATCCCTTCAGATATTGTTAATCGACTGGCATTCCCCACAAAAAGATTTTTTGATGTCCATAACGAAAATATTATACCAAGGCTAAAAAAGTTATAGATCGAAAAATCAATTCAGCAGACATTCATCTCAATATAAGTTCAAAATGAAATTTCAGGACAAAAATCCCCTTCAAATCGCCAACACAGACAAAGAAGAAAGCAAGAAGATCATCCCTCTTGTGTTGGATTCTCTAGTTATAGGATGGAGAGGAAAAAGATTACATAGTGATAATATCAGACTGCCCAATTTATCATTGCCTTAGTCAAAATTCAATATTATTAGTTGGCGCGCTGTAACTTTATTATGTAAATGAGGGAGTACCAAAGTATCAACAAATATTAACAGGTGACCATTGGCTCAAGTTCAAACAAGAAACTGAGAATGAATTCTAGTTCATGCAAAACTTCCAGAAATACACTTCCAGTTCACCAGAAAAAAAAATGATAGAAGCAAATTAGTAACTAATACAAGTAATTCAATTATATAGTAAGGAAAAGGTAGTCAAAATGATGAGCAAACATTGAGAAGAAAACGGACCACCGCTTTAACTTAGTCTCGACTTAGTAAAAAGTCATTAGATCATCATGGAGTGAAGACAGTACTGTAAAGGTTGTTCATTGCTTACTAAGGATAATAATGAAAATGGTAAATAAAACAATAGCAGTCTAGAGGCTAATTTACAAGGTTCATTGGATTGTGTTATTTTTTTCAGGAGCATAAAAATATAAACAAAATTTATATTAAGTCCTTAATTGTATTGGGTCGTAGCAGAAAAAGTCAGTAGGCCATACAACATTCAGTACACATCCTCTTAGGAGTGACAGAAAAATAAAAATCATAGAAGAAGCATACGAATTTTCGAGAAATAGAGTAAATAAACCCAAAGACAGAAAGTCAGAATCAACTCATCAAGATTGCTGATTAAGTGGCAAATATTCCACATGGAGGACAAATAGTTCAGCAACTGGCTTACAGCAGTGACTGATGTTGTCAAAGACTTCAAGCCAGCCGTGCATGCATGAGCTTCAGGCAGCGTTGAGAAATCATTTGCTTGCAACCTTTCTGTAACATCCGCGTATAGCCATTTTAGCCACTCACCAACAAACCTGAAGGCATAGGCGGAAGCTAGTAGTGGAAAGAGCCGGCTCTGCTGAGTTTTGTAATCGAGCACCTGTGCCAAAGGCAGCATAGTACTAAATTTAACACCCGGTAAACACTCGAAAATAGATGGCCAGCACAGTGTATACGAATCAGAGACAGAGATAAGCACTGACATGGAATCACAAAAATTCATATTCCTTTGTCCTAACAGGGAAACTAAGATATGACAAAAGAATATTGGCGTCAAAAAGAAAGCATCACAGAAATTGATAAGTAAAAGCGTAATGAATATCCTCAGCATTTAATTAAATTGCAACCGTTAGATTCGCCATTAAAAAGGTGAACGGATCAGAGTTCCCATAAACGTGTTGTGGATGTGTGTGCCCCTTAGGACCCTAGATCTCAGCAGACAATCCCAACAGAAAACACGAAAGATGTAGAAGGAAAATGAAGATTAATCAGTAGAAAACATAACTTGGGCTCCAAAGAATGCTAGAGTTGTTAGGGGACGTTCGAGAAGCCCCCTGCTCTCCCTGAGTCACAGCTGCCCTAGAATCATTCCTCAATGCCCTCTTTCCCCCTCTAACCTGAGTCTTAATACCTCTTTCCCTCTTACCGAGAAAAGAACTACCTGTCCCTCCCAAAATCCTCACTTAGGGCAGTTTTGTCTGCGAATATAGCAAAAAACCATTCAATATCGATATTGAGCCTTAATTCGATATTGCACATCCCATACAGATTCTTTAATATTAAAGGAAGTTACAACAAAAGGAAAAAATAAAGTCCAACTAACATGATCAACGTACAACAAAAGAGACTCCAGGACTCATGCAAAAAGCCACTAAATGTTGTTTTTTAAGGTAACTATGTTGAACATGCAAGGATCTGCACAGATTTTGATACTTCCTGTCACGTTGTATGCCACGTCTCATGTCAAGAAGCTGTATCCATGCATCTGGTAAGACAATTCAGGCTTCCATATATAAAAGATAACTAACAATTGATTAAGAACCTGTATCCTTCAGCAAACTTATGGCATTATGCATAAGATGGAACCACATCTATCATCATTTAGATTTATATTTTCAATTTCACTGAAGAGTAGATAGTGATCCTAAAGTGCAAGTTCAAAAATATAACTCAATCATTTACGTTCTTGAAATAGATATCATTATACCTGAGTTTCAATTCCTCTATCCTGCGATCCAAACTGTCTTCTGATAGCACTGTACCTCACAGCAATACAAACAGCTCGAGATAAAGCCCATGAGGCATCTGAAACAATGGTTTGACGAACATAAACCATTGTCCCATAAACCATTTGTTTTGGAACATCAGACAGACAAACATTCCCCTCTCTCGTTACTTGGCAAAACCTGAAGTTACATAAAATGAAACATAATGAAGAAATCATCAATAACATGTCCATCTTGTTTCAGCCTAGAGCTAACAGAAGCAAATAACAAAGTTTGAAAACAGAGATAAGTCTAGTTGAACAAACCGCATCAACATATGGTTTCTTGGTATGCGCACACGATTAAAACATACAAATCCATTGTCCATAGTATTGTATGCGCCACTGCCAAACTTTGTTCCAATATCACCAATGATGATACCAGGAAGAGGTGTATGATCATCTAAACTCCGTAACTGGACTATAAAACCTGAAGTAGGAACCTAGTTACATTCTGTTGTAGACATTGATAAGATACCAGTTCTTGGATGTTTAAGCAGGAAAGAAACTGTACCATAAATTCCATGTTCCTGACCACCAGAGACCAGTCTGGCGTACACAACAACATGAGTAGAGACTTTCCCCAGACCACCAGGCCACCACTGTCAACAATCCAAAAAAACAGTTTAGCTCTGTCCAATCTACTAACAGAATCTAATCATCAACTCAGATCTATTGGAAACACTTAGTAATTCACAATAAAAAATCTTTCTTTGAGAAATATTCATGTGATGGATCTTCTAGAACTGTAATGCCGTGAAATGCCTTTGTTGATTAATTTATGTCACTGTCATAATCTATTAAGACCCTTGAACCCCATCATTGATTAGAACATGTATTTTCTGTGGATACTTTGAATATTGAAGATTAGAATGTTTCCTGACAAGTAATTTGTACCAATAGAGCTAAACTATTTTCAGAGATGTGCACGCTACAATAAAACACAACATGGCATAGAATGTCGAGAACATGTACCAACAGAGCTCTCTTACATTATCCTTTGATAACTATAAGAACGTTGAAACACTCCGGTACAGAATGCAGTATCATGATATAGTCATCGCAATGTAGAAAAAAGTAAAAACTTATGTGATCATCACAGAGAAAAACAACTAGATAGGTATCTCATCGCAGAAATCATATCAGGATATTACTGTCCAGTGAATGATGTTCAGCCTCAAGGAGATGACAAAACTCTACACGAATTTTGGTTTCTTTCATCACAGAACCTAGGGGAAATTTTATTTTCTAGCTACTTACATAAAGGTAAGTCTTAGTTTATAAGGTGATAAATTCACCAATATTTTTCTGCGTCCCAATAGCCCTCATTGGAATTGGATTTGATCTTATAGAGAACTAGCATCAACAGGCAACAAGACCTATACCTTTCTAAATGTTTGGATCCCTTATTGGTTCTACCAAGCTTAGGTCACTGGATTTGTATATCAGTAACGATAATAATGATGATCATGATTATGATGAAATGAATTTCACTCTATCAATTAAAAGAAACTTACTTTGTAGGAGGTAAGGGAAGGACTATGAATGATAAATTCATCAGTTTTTGGATCAAACGTTGCTGTAGTTTCAAGCCCTTGCACATTTGACCCGTGTCCAAGTTCAGTTTGTGCATAGCAACCAATTATCTCCATTCTAGAGGCCAATGGCAACCACTTTTCCTGTTGTTCTTCAGTTCCCTGACCTTTTATAGCCGGTACAAACATTCCCTGAAATTCAGGTTAAAACAAATGATGCTAATATCAACGACTATGGAAGAAGCAAATTGTAGAGACCAGGCAATCTACACTGCAGACCTTAATAAAAGAAAGCAAGGTTGCCTGGTTCACGTCGTAAACAGCAACACAAAAACCAAACAACATAAACCCCAGATCTAGATTAATAAGAGTATGAATAACCTATTCAATCAGTAAAGAACCAGAGAAAAACCAAACAGAGTAGCCCAGAAGCTGTCCAAAAAGAGAATAAATGAAGTATAACATAATCAAGCAAAAAAAATCAAACCCGAACATCACTGGCAATAAGGTGTCACTCGGCTCCATGGCTTGGGAAGCTGAACACCGAGCCAATATCAGAAAAATCAAGCAGCAACAACCAAAATCAATTATATCCCTCTTGGTACTGTCAAACGCTATACAAAGGATCCCAGGTAAAGTCAGAATAGAACAAAACCTACAGTTGCAAGCCAACATAAGCAACACATAAGAGTCTACATGAAGGGTACAGGATTCCACCAATCAAGTGGAATTTCTACGTCTGCACGGTTGCAGCAGTAAAATAAACCCAGAGTAAACCCTAAGAACAATTTCATCATTTTAGGGACAATAGGATTAACGGTTTATTAATAAAAGTGGTCGGCAGTGACCAGTGTGATTGGCAGCAGCTTCAGGTGATTTTTCTCCCTTTTCCTTTTCTCTTCTTCTCCATCAACAGCGACAAGAAGCAGAAGCAAGTAAGTGGTATATGTCAGTGGCATCAGATGTGTTTATCTACTCTGTCCTTTCTTCCTATTTTCCTATTCATTCTGTCTACTCCATTCTTCTTTTTCTTCTCCCGTCCACTGATTTTAGAAAGGAATTAGTCCAGGTGGTCTCATTATGTGCATTTTCTGAAATAAAAACACAATGATAATAAGAATAAACCCTCATAAGAATAGATTGACCAATCCCAAGGACTACTGCCCCTAAAACAACAGCTCTAAGATTATTTTACACAACACATTTAGATGTGAACAATCTATTTCAGCTTGGATTGTTTGATGTTTTGCAGGTAAATTTTCCATCTGACAAGTTTAACCAACCAGCACCGAGCTGTTGAGCCATTGACTAAAAAGATGGTTTTCTGCTGATTTCAGGTTATGCAGGCCATTAAAAAAGCTCCTTAAAAATATTTATTCACATATGTGGCCATTTGTCTAAAAATTAATGAGAAGTAAAATATGATGCCAGAACTTATATTCTCATTTTTGTTTGTGTTCAATATAACCTTAATACAAGCCCCTCTACCCTAAAAGTAAATTGCTCAAAATAACTATTCGTCCACTCTTTCAGCACTGATGATCAGGTAGGTCCCTTTCCTACTTTTCTCAACCATGTTCCAGATAATAATTTTGGATACTTTCATCCTTATCCTGAAGACAGATCAAGTATATCATATGTGTGGTACTGTAGAAATTGAGAGTGAAACCTCTATCATACAGGACAAAGGGGAGAATGGTGGAAACTGTCTCAATTCCATTGAACTATTAGACCCCTTAATATAAGGAAAAACCTTAGACAATTTTCAAAAACACCTTCAACTTATTACACTATTTCCATACGACCTAGAACTTCCAACACTCCCCCTTTTTGAAGTTTATTTTGACTAAGTTGTTCACAATCTGTTGTGGCAGCAACTCCCTTTATGACAGTTGTCAAAGATGACCACTACCAAGGTCGTGGGTTTGTCAGCACCTTTGGCTCCTCTGATGATTGCTATACCCCAGGAACAGCTCCATAGTAGAATGATGTCTTCAGACACTGGAAATACACGTGATGTTGTCAACCTTTGCAAACTGTGGGAGATCCTCGTAGTTGGACTAGAGACGATGTCGAACTAAGATAAATTGAGACAGATTGAGGACGGGGGATGATACTAGACTAAGACAATACCTAAAAGATGACATGATAAGAATGAAACTAGACGAGGCAAAAACAAAAGGCCTCGCCAAAAGAGACTCAACAGAGGTCGAAAGCCTCGCCAGAAAGATACTCACAGAGGCAGAAGGCCTCGCCGAAAGGATACTCGGTAGAGGCAAAGCCTTGCCAAATAAAGAGACTCGGCAGAGAAATAAACCCTCACTGGACAAAGATACTCAACAGAAGAATAAACCCTTGCTGGACAAAGATACTCGGCAGAGCAAGGGACCCTCGCTGAACAATGATACTCAGCAGAGGAAGAAACCCCCATTGAACAAAGACACTCGACAGAGAAAGAAACCCTCACTGGACAAAGAGGGGTTTGAAACCCTAACATGTAACCTGCCTATTGCCAGATGCCAGTGATGGTGGTGTTGATGCTCCCCCAGACAAGAATGCCAGGTAGAACCAACACCGAACAGAGGTGGCGGTGGCAGCACTCCCCCAGACAGAAGACACCAGGCAGAACTCTGACATGTAACCTGCCTATTGCCAGATGCTGGTGATGGTGGTGTCGATGCTCCCCCAGACAAGAGATGCCAGGTAGAACCAACGCCGAACAGAGGTGGTGGCGGCAGCACTCCCCCAGACAAAAGACACCGGGCAGAGCCAACGAAACCCGCTCTGATACCATGTAGAAAATTGAGAGATAAACCTCTATCACGGAGGATAGAGGGGAGAACGGCAAAAACCTTTTCCCCAACTGTCTTTACAATCTTGCATTGATGAGTTCTATACACTTTTACAAATGATCATTTATTGTTAAATATTCTATCTTAAAATATGATGATTGCCATTATTTGCTCTGGTTAGAGGATTGGTATAACAAAGTATCTTCAACAGTAACACTTGTGCTCCAAATCAAAGGCAGATTCATGATGGCTGATATAAGATCTATCTGATCAGAAGCCATTGATAATGTCCACTTTCAAACAAAATTAACAAGAGAGCATGCAAGTTCAAAATAGTATCCACAAATCTTGAGGACGAAATCTGGTGTGTAGGGAAACTATTTAATTTCTGATCGAACATCTTACCATTACCAACCTAGGTTTTGGGTGGGTAATAAGATCCACTGTAAAAGGAATCAGGAAAATCCAATAGAACCAGGTTGGAGGAGGCAAGAAATTTTGAAAACAAAGAAAACTATACAGGCTAAACTGGTTAAAAAGTCAGCAAGTCACGAAGGAGGCCATGATCACAGAACTTAAAAGACAATGTAAAAGATAGATTTAAAAGAAAAAAGGTGAAAATGAAAAAAACATCTGACGAATCGAACCTAAAAGAAGGTATAAAAGAGTTATTCAGATGTTCGGCATTAAAACAAAAGTTTGCAAAAAATTGATCACTCAGTACACAGGAGTCAATAAGTGATAAACCTCATTAGTGTGTATCTTTTACTATGCCTAGTTTTAGGAATTCATAGTCCTCATTCATTTATTGAGAGCAAAATTACTAACCAAGAAGAATGGAAATGTGATGTTATGATTAATATCTAGGTATATAATGTAAGAAATTTCCACCAATGTCGATTTTACAGGGTAGGAAGTTCTATTTTTTGGCCTAACCCGCTGTGGGAGTACAAAATTCAGCAACTACAGGACAAAACCGCTAATAAAAAGCAAAATTTGACTGAAAGATGTGATAAGGTGTTGAAGAAAGACCTCAACAGTGACCATCCTGAAGGTAAAATAAGGAACTCGAACCACCTAATAAGTAAATAAGATATGAAGAACATTATTCAACTGAATAAATACCACATACCCAGTGCAAGTCCAAGTAACCAGGCTCATCCACGAAGAATCTCAGCTTTGATGCCTCCTCTTCTGTTGCAATGAAAATTATTATGTTAGATAATCATGAACCCAATGAGAAATCAGTAAGACTATTAAAACTAGTCAGAACATAGGTTAAATCCTGATAGTTAAATGAACTGACGACTAGAGTCTTTGGTGGGGTAATATGCAGACTAGATTATTACCCCACAACCAAGTATGAAGTCATTGAAAAAGAATGACTCCATCAATATGGAAATAGTCAATTGTACCACATATCATAATTTATGATGAAGACATTGATTATTACCCAATAGTAATCATCAAGAAGTAAAAAATAATATTAAGCTTCATTTTCTCATCGCAACATAAAGCTAGGGGAGGAAAACAGACAATATCTTTCATTGAGGAAACGCAACATCTTCACACCCATGCTTGCTTGTCCAAAGAAGAGTTTAATACTGTCATTTTCTTAACATCCGACCCATTCAAAGAATAATCAAAACCATAAATGAAAAATCTGTAGACTCGATGGACCATGCGGATACAGACCTTGCTCCATGGATATTTATATGCATCAAAAATAATGTCCCAGAACCAGCCCTTTTGAAAGCATGAAGCCATGACGGTCATAATCTTAGATGCATTGAATCATATTTAATGAGACAATACTGAAAAAGAAGATCAAGCACTCCCACATTCCCGAAAGAAGGGAAGATGATTCCCATTCCTAAAAGGGCGATGTCTTGAATGAAACAGAAAACCATGTTTAGATGCAAGACAGGAATCAAATTGCTCTACCAACTTGGTCTTCCATACTGACACACACCTGTTAAACGAAGTTCATTGGCACGCTTCACCACATGGGCCATTTTCCTGAGAGTGTTTTTAAATAACTCCTTCCGTCCAAGGGTCGTTCTATTGTCTTTCCGGAACTCCTAAAATACATTAAAGAGAAAAATAAATGGTTGGAACCGGTTACGAAATCAATCACAATCATAATACATAGAAGAATAAATCTAGCCAGTCAAACTTTCGAGATCAAAAGAAGCAAACCCAACGTGTGAGGGTAAAGATTAACGAACTGGCAGACGGGAACACTTCCAAACCCATAAAAAAGAAGAAGTGAAACATCTTAAAATGATGTATGCGAGAAAAAAAAAAGAATCAGAACAAAATTATCTCATGTTTGCCCACTGGAACAAAACTGGTTCTTACTTATGGAACGAAAATTTAAAATCAACTGAACGCAAGAAGTTAGTTAATTCCCTACCTCGCTCAAACACCAAGTAAACTACCAAAACGAGCGTAACACAGGTGCTAACGGAACGAATATCACCGGAGCTCCCAAAACGACAAAAATCCGGATGAATTATCATCTATCATTCCTAGAAGAAAAAAGCCGACGAGCGGACCCAATTCAACGCAAAGAGGAGACGAATCAATAGAAGCGACGGGTTAGAGGCGGAACGGACGGGATCGCTGGCGACGATTCGGGCCATCCGATCGGTGACATCGAAGACGTGTTTGGATCCCGCCCAGACGATCTTCATGGCGCCAACATCGAACTGCGCCTTGCTCCTCTCATCGGCGAGGTTATCCACGGAAGCCACCACCATCTCCGTCCTCCCCGTTCTCTTCCCCGCGGAGAAGACCAGAACTCTACAGCAGTAAGGAGAGGGGTTGTTCCGGAGGACGGGCCGCGTTGCGCGTTCCCGGTCCTCCCCTCGATTTATCTCTGGGCGGGCGGTCCCCTACCTGTAACGCCCCGCTATCCTAGTTTCCCACGTGACATTTGCGGTGAACGTACGAGCAGCCTTTCCCTGGCTCGCGCCCGCTGGCGTGCGGAATTATTTTTGGGCTCTCCCGGCTCGGCCCGAAATCGGCAGAGACCGGGACGATCCTATGAGCGGGGAGTGCGGTTAGGCCGTCCTCGTTTCCCCCGCGCGCTCGCGTACGCATACATGTTACGTATTGATACGTATATACGAGTGCACACGCCCGCGCGCACGCACTTTGGATGTCGGAAGACGGAGGGACGATTCTCTCTTCCAGTGGCCAATATAATTTTGGTCTCTAATTTCGTGTCGTCTCCGAGGCTCCAGCCGTCGGCTGCTCGTTTTCCCCGTGCGACTCGGGGGTAAAAAAAGCGTGCGCTCGGTGGATATTTTAACGATACAACACGTGAGTTGCGGCCCCGAGATCGTCCAAGGATGAACGGGACCCGAACATGTGACGAGACCAAGGTCCACCACCCACAACAGGGCGCCTCCCTCCCAACCGCTGTACCTTTCGTCGGGTCTCCGTCTTCGTCCCCCTCCTCCTCGATCCAGTATGGTGGCCGTGGGTTAGATCGGGTTAGAGAGGTGGGGCGGCAGCTGGAACAGAAGTGGAAGGTGGGGGGGCGGTGGCGGTTGAGGGATGGACCGAGAGGGAGAGAAGGTGACGGGGAAACCACCGTCGTTTTCTGTCCGGGAAGAAGAAGTGCAAAATGTGGTGGTCATGCGGCACGGCGACCGGATCGACCAGTTCGAGCCGCTGTGGACGCTCCAGGCCGCGCGGCCTTGGGACCCTCCGCTGATGGACGACGGGAAGATCCGCGCCTGGACCACCGGGAGGCGGCTCAGGGTCTCCCAACTGGGCTTCCGCATCCATCGCGTAGTTGTCTCCCCCTTCCTCCGCTGCCTCCAGACGGCCAAGGAGGTCGTGTCCGCTCTGTGTGCGAGATGCGAGAACGAGGCGAGCCTCCTGGCTTTACAAAGTAGCCAGGGCGTTCCCATCGACCCCTCCGCTGTGAAAGTATCCCCAAATTTCCATAAAACTCAGACCCGAGTTTAAGCTCGTTCTGTTTGCGCAACGCTTTTGATTTGCCTTTCGAGGTTTTGATTTACCAATTGGTTAGACCCACTTCTATCCATAACTATTGATGCCGACATTAAAGCTGATGTTGCCAAGGCGGCCCGTGATGCCCTGTATAACTTTGGATCCTAGTCATAAGAAGCGATAATTCCAAATTTTGGATATATTCTCTGAGCTTTTCTAAATCATTTTGAAGTAAGGCCCATTAAATGTCTTCCTTACTTCTAGGGGAACTCACAGTGGCGTTTCTTCATCAAAACTACATCCACATTTCAATAAGTCAATCATTTGAGTTGTTAGGGATGTGACAACGTTCTATGTTCCTTTCTTGAAAGTTTATGCCTCAATTATTCAAATAGTTTCAATCTCATGTTATCCTGTATTATTATATGTTCTTTTCCCACCTTCAAACTATTTCTTTTACATTTTAAACCATGCTAATAATAATGTCACTATTTTAGTGCCGAGATATCTTATGCTCATAATGATGCAATTATCTTCTAAGTGAGATAGCAGACTACATTTTCTTGCCTGAAAATACTTCTCCATTATTGTCTGCAATTTTACAATATTGATATCTTGATTCTAGAACAAGATAACAAAAATATGTTGTCATTATCTTCATAGAATAGGCTAAAATATAAATGAGTAATGTAAACGGCAGCTTCATGAAAATCATGGTGAATAGTCATCTTTCATCTACTACCATAATTAGCCTTCCACTTGTTAAGGGCATTTACAATTTATTTTTTATCATTCACTTCGGTTTATCCATTAGCCCACATCCTGCCTCTGTGCCCCCCAAATGTAGCAATACACCACCACCTGTTACATTTGCTGACGGCAATCCTCACCCTCTCCTTGGCACCCACACTGCTACAAGCATTTTGGCCTGGGTGGACCCTGACTTCGAAGGGAACCAACACTTGACCCCTTGATTTCTGTGTGCGATGTGAGTTTATGCATCAGAAAAGGTAAGACGGCATTGCATGTTTTTCACACCGTCTACAGCGACTCAATTATTCTACGTCACTTCACTGACCATTGAAAATGTGTTTAATATTCATTATTACTGTTTCCTGATCTGAGCCACTCATTCTTGAATTGCGATTACAAATTTTACACTTCGTGTGTGATGAAGATGCAGAGATTAGTTGTACTGTAATTTAAAAAAAAATCTTTCTGTTTTTAATTTCAAGAATATTTGTAACACCCAAGTTGCGTTCGTCACCCAAAATGGAAATTTTATCAAATAATTTATACTGAAGCATAAAGAGATTCTATCGGTCTCTCTCGACATTAATGAATTAGGCATTTATCATCAGTGATATAAAATCCTCTTTTGAGAGCATTGATGTCACGTAAACCTGTCTATGCTAGATAAAAGAGTTTTCATAGAAAGAAGAAAACAAATTTGAGAATCACGCATTTCAGAAATACATCCAAAAGTTTGGAAATTAAATGCTATGTTCTAAAAAGCCAATGTAAATCAGATCATTTCAGAAAAAAAAGTTACCATTTTTTTAATGATATTTCTCCAAATGCTTATTTAAACAATTAAATCAAAAGACGTGATCGTAATTGGTAGCTCTATAGCTCTATAAATTTGTTGTCCATTACAAATGATTAACATTGCGTAATTAGTAGCTCTATAGAAATGAATCATGTACACATGAAATGTGTAATATTTCATTATATGCTCATTTTCTGAATGAGAGAAACATGAATCTTCTGGACCGAGTAGAGGCTTACTAATGAAAGTATATGCCATAGATCTGATTAAAGTTTCAAATTATAATGATTGTGAGGGTACTAAGCTATCTTGGATATCATCTTGTTTTTTACAACTATTTCTCATTTTCGGAATGGAGATTTATTTCCATACTTTTTTTCACAGGTGTCAATCGAATTTGGATTGTGTGAGGTAATATCTAGCCAAACTATTAAGGTTGATTGGGCTACCAAGGATGGAATATGGTTTCCTGATGTTTCAGAGCTTGAGATTGTTCTTCCAGCTGGAACAGTAGATCATTCTGTGTGGCAAGTGTACCATGAAGTATACATATTCTTCACCTTCTGTCTTTTCCCTATAATTTGATGTTTCAATAAATGGGCAATTGACTGTACACAATTGAATCTTTGAAGTGTCATTCATGTGCTACAGTTGCCACTTTGGGAAGAGGAAATGGGCGAGGCAAGGAAGAGATATAAGAAAGTTATCTTGGCTCTTGCAGACAAGTACCCCAATGAAAATCTCTTGCTGGTTACACACGGTGAGCAACCTATTATTAGGTGGGAACTTTGGTTCTTTTGTCATTTTCTGGTGTCCAGTTGCTCCTATTATGGAAACTAAATAAAAAATTATGATATGTTCCTGAAGACGAGCAAAGCGAGTGGTTTCTTGATTTAATATATTATTTCCATTTTTGTTGTGAAGCTCGGGGTGAACCCATTTGTATTTGATAATGCTGGGACCTAGTCCAAGCTCAGACAGAAACTCAGACGATTCACCATGCTTGATTGATTGATTGATTACAAGATCTACAGTGGAAAGAGTGGGTCAGGACCCTGTTGTCATCCTTGAGACTTGAGGATTGTTATATATTATTTCCTGTTGTGAAATAGTGATGCATCAGACAATACTCTTGGATAGGCATAAGTGGAGAATGTGATGCTATCTATCTTGGACAAACCTATGTATGCAGGTGAAGCTGTGGGAGTCAGTGTTGCCGCATTCCTGGAGGGGTTCGACGTTGCAGAAGTCGACTTCTGTGCCTACTCCCACCTGCAGAGGAAGATCTCCTACACGAATTCTGGAGGATTGTTTGTTGAACCATTCAAGGTGCTAACAAAGGACGGCCAGAATGGCATCAGCCTTTATTCCCTATAGAAGGAAATATTTTACTAGCGAAGGATGCCTGAACTTCAATATGTCCCAATTTGGAAGAAGCCTTCCGCCCTCATAAGAATGCTCCCAATTCTATTCTTCTTATTCTGCTTGAAAATCTCTACCAGTTTGGTGAGAATGAGGATAGCACGTGCGACTGATCCGATAATATAATTGGGTGTTTCGTATGATCTGATAACACCTATGTTTGTTTGATATGGCGTGGTTTTGTATCGAAATACAGGCTCCTTATCGAGAAATTCAGTTTTGTATCGTTTTAAATAAGTAAAGATCAAAACATCATCAAGTTTTTGTATGATTATATATTTTATGTTGCTAATTTTACTAATTAAAAGTTACATGCAAATAAAATTTTAGTTTAAAAAGCAGAAAATTGCAAGTCATTAATCAATATCTCAAATAACATTTTTAAAACTTAAATCTTAAGCCTCCTTAAATAGGTGAGTTACTATCGGGTCTCATAAGAATTCTATAAAGGAGTTATGTATTCTTGTTGGAGCAATGGTAAGATGGGTGATCTCTTGAGAAGTTATCTATAAGTCACTAATGAAAAAAAATGTGTCTTTATTGTAAAAATATCATGTACTTTATCAATAAGATCAATATTTACATCATACCATTAAAACGGCTTTTGAAAGTATCCTTACCTTGTTACTGATAGGACCCAGCACCCTTAACAATGAGCACACCTGGCCATAACAGTATTAAGATACATCTTAAGAAGGAGTTAGGCCTTGTGTTGATCATCTAAACCCCTTAAGGTAAAATGTACTTGGATCAAAGCGATATTAGGATGAGTGACCTCTTGGGAAAGGGCTAGGCCTTGAGTTGTAGAGCTTTTAAGGGAATGTAAAAAAAGAAAATCTTAAACCCTAAACGCCAAACTATTTAACCTCTCAAAATTTTATGGTATTTCCTTACATTCTATTCATGTTGATTCAATCACTTGAAGACAAAACAAAGTTGAAAAATAAACAAAGCATAAACCTTTGAGGAGAGAACTTTTTTGTCTATGCCTGCTTGGGATTTGGTTAAAATAGAGTACACAGAAATAATAGTAACCTTATGTTCTTCCTAGGGCATGTCATTGTAACGAAGAAGGGCATTGAGTTAAAACCTGTAATTACATTGCCTTGAAGAGGTAAAATTTCATCTTGTTAATCTTGTCAGTCAAGTAGTGATATTTCCATAAAAGACTGTCATGCCATTTTTGGAACCGAATCTGTGTGAGATTCCATTTTGGAACGGAGACTGTCATGCTTAATCTGAAAGCTTAGACCGCTTCTGTATTTCATTCAAATGATCTATCAATTCAGTTGACTTAGCAGCAATGCCCTTCTTGGGAGAGAACCAGTCAAAACTTGGATTGACCATCAAGACAAACCCAGCCGGAGCTTGATGATAATCAAGCAACCTTCTATTTTCCATCTTGAAAATGATAATATTGTTTTCCATCAAAAGTATAAAAGCAGCTGGTATTCACCACTGTTTTTTTCAATCAAGCGTGTTGATGGGGCTGGATAAGCTTCCAACTCGACTTCCGTCTTTTCCAGCCTGGATTTCCAGAATCACTGCGTTCTGCCTGACTTGTCGTTTCATTGTAAAGCATGCAGTTCGGATTGAGAGTATTTGAAGTCCTTACACGGGTCTTGGTTTTCCTACGGCTTGTGACTTCTGGCTTGTCGTAGATGAGTCAAATCCAGCACATCGTGATGTCGAATTCAACAAAACCGTAATCCCTCACTCGCAATTGCTTCGAGACAGTTGATCTCATCGATCCGGGGTAAAAATGTAGGAGAAAGATTGCAGGCATTTCGTGAAAACTGCATCTCCCCTAGAGGAAGAAGGTCAACAGAAATTTGCAGCAATCAGCGGAGAAGGGAAGGATGAAATGCCTTCCAGAATCCTTATGCGACAGTCGCCGTCGGAGCACGGCCGCCGCCGCCGCTACTGCCGCCGCGTTTCTCCGGAGCCCCGAGCCACCTCCTCAAGCTCTCCCCCGCTTCCTTCATGTCCTCCACCTGCGAGATCACCGGCGTCCATTCAATCAGAATTTATGTATCGCCGATCGACCGCCCGGGCGTCCGCTTCCAATTACCCTACGCATGCCGGCGGCGCGAACGGCCACCAAGGCGGCGGTTGCGCCGGCGCCGACGAAGAGTGAGGCGACGAAGAAGGCCTTGACGGGCATCAGCGCCGGGTTGCCGCTCCCGTTGTATCCCCGACGGTACCACGCAATCCCCGCCGTCAGCTGCGCCGAGCTCGCCACCGCCAACCACCAGGGGCCGCCTTCTGCCTCCGCCTCCGCCATGCTTCTTTCCCTACGGCACTGCGCGTAGAGCCGGGCATTTTGACATTTTTCAGATCCTCTGCAAAGGCGGTCGAAATTTGCTTGTTCTCACCGACGGTCCTCGGATAAAGCCGCGGGTGGGGGAGGCAACGGCGCCAGGAGACTTATCTGGTTCCGGCAAACTTTCGACTCTCCCACCTTAAAAAAAAAAAAACAAATGCCCATTTGCTCCGCAGGGCACACTAATTTATCTCTCCTTTCGGCACAGATTACCCGGCTTCTTCCCACCTCTTCGCAAGCTTCTCTGTTCCCGAACGGAGGAATCGCTCCCTCGATTGGCATGGCCCGTTCCCTCGGATGCCGCGGGTTATCGATAGCAACGGCGCTGGTGGCTCTCTGTTCCCTCCCCTCTGTAAGGAGCTTCTTCTTTCTCTCTCGCAGAGACTCCAACTTGTACATTCTGGAGAAGAAAGAGAGATTCGTCGATCTGTGTTTCCCATTATTATTTTAGCCATCCCCTTGATTATTTCCGATCCATTTATTAGCATGCGAGTATGCTTCTTATTTCGGTGTGCTCTGTTTTCCCCTCGGAACCAGGCTCATGGCCATGTAGAAACTAATGCTGGCGGATACCCTGTGGTGATCAGTACATGGCCTTTCCTAGAGGCAGTGAGGGCAGCTTGGAGGGCAGTTGACCAGGGATCAACGGCTGTCGATGCTGTCGTGGAAGGTTGTTCCACCTGTGAGGAGTTGCGTTGTGACGGTACAGGTATGCACGATCGAGGGAGATGGCGTATGTCTGTTAATCGTTGCTTCATCTGATTGGTATTTTTAGCTTTTATAAATATAATCGTATAACCCAAGTTTTTTCAAATTTAATATGCTTCCCTTTCCTAATTTATACATTTTCAACCGTACACATTATCTTGGTTTGATCAATTAGATAGCACCTGATCGAGGAGGCTTCTTATTTCTTCAGTTATGAAAACCCTTCGTCGACATTTGACGAAAACAACCATGATAACTCTTTATACTCCTAACTATGACGCTTACTTTATTTACCTAATTCCAATGTCCATAGTTCACAACTTTGACTTGTAGACTTCAGTTTGCAATCTAATGTCCAGATCCCCTCTCCCGAAAGATTGGGCGCAGGATCTTTTGATAAAGCTTGGTCATCACTGGTATCCAGGCTTTCGGAATCAATTTGATATAATCGCTGATACGAGTTTCGGTTTGACCAGGGCATGGGATATGTATTTTATGCCCCCTATGATGTCTATTTTCTGATGATTGTGTCGTTGTAAGGGGTTTACTGCAGAAGAGAGCATTTACTGTCAAGATCAAATCCTGTTCAGACTGTCTTGGCTAATATAACTCCCTTCCCCTGACACTATTGCATTTCTACATTAGTTTTAAGCCTTCATTCTTGCCAGTGTCTAAGACGAGCTTAAATGGAAACAGTTGGTCCTGGTGGCAGCCCAGATGAGAATGGAGAAACCACGATAGATGCTCTTGTTATGAATGGGGTAATGCGTCTGTTTGAATGTACTGATGTGATGGTGGAATTTCTGGTTCAAATGAAGAGGCTTAACGGCCCAAATTTCTGTCTAAGGATGATGGCAGACTACAATGGAGGTTGGGGCAGTCGCCGCTATGAGGTATGTGAAGGATGGCATTAGAGCTGCAAAGTTGGTCTTGGAACACACTGAGCACAGCTTTATTGTGGGGGAGCAAGCCTCGGTCTTTGCCATTTCAATGGGCCTTCCTGGGCCGACAGACCTTAGCTCACCAGAGTCCATTGCACAGTGGAACAAATGGAGGATGAGCGCATGCCAACCAAATTTCCGAAAGAATGTTCTCCCCACAAATGGATGCGGCCCATATCGCCCAAGTGATTCTGGAGATGCAGTAATTGAATCTCCTGCATATGTTGACGTAGAGAGGTGGTCTGGGAGTGATGAAATGGCATTTTTTGGATCTAATTCCACTTTTGCCAGTCTCCAAAACCACGATACGATCTCTATGGCTGTGATTGATCGAGTAAGTGTTGTCCGACATTTTCTTAGTTGTTGTCCTCTGGGCTCCACATTATTTCACAACTTTTGATTCATTTGGTAGGCTGGGCGCATAGCAGTTGGAACTTCAACAAATGGTGCTACATTCAAAATTCCCGGAAGGTACATATTTATGATGTAGATTTTGTAAATGCAACTTTCAGCCAAACATTCCTTGGAAATTTCAACTCAAATTAGCAGTTTTAGAGTAGAAGATAAGCATGAATGTGATGGGTTGAAGTGTCATCTTGCACCTCAATTTTGATTGCCCTGCTCATTATTTTTTGTTTCATTACTAGGATTACAGTTCTTCTAGATTCTGACGTATTGGGGTCAAGGCGATGGATCCTACTCTTCCATCTCACTTCTTTTTTCTTTTCTTTTATCATATCACATCCATGAATTGCTTATTTCTACTGGTTTTTCTTCTTTTACTAAGGAGAGTCTGGATTTCAGAGTAGGTGATGGGCCCATAGCGGGCTCTTCGGCATACGCTGATGATGAAGTTGGTGCATGTGGTGCTACAGGAAATGGTGATATCATGATGCGATTTCTTCCATGGTACATCCATCCCCCCAACTCCGTCCTTTTGTAGAATAATATATACTATGGCTATCTCTGAGCAGACTGGCCTCATAAAGTGTTTTTTTCAGCTATCAAGTCGTCGAGAGCATGAGGCAGGGGAGGGACCCTGAGCATGCCGCCTCCAATGCTATGTCACGGATCGCCAGAAAGTACCCGAACTTTGTTGGAGCTGTTTTTGCTGTCAACAATAAGGGAGCTCACGGAGGAGCCTGCCACGGATGGACGTTTCAATACTCTGTGAGGGCTATTGGCATGCACGATGTGGAGGTCTTCACAGTGAAACCTAGGGATGGTGGCCTCCACCATCCCATTTAGATGGATGGCTTTGTCCATTGATCAGGGTAGGGCTTACGTATTTGTGGCAGCCATTGGATACTATGGAAACATGGGGTAGGAAACACATTATTCTCTTGTTGACATTGAGGAAATCAAGGAAGAATATTAATGGTTACTCAAATCCACCAAGCATGATATCCTCAATCCTAGAGTCTACAAAGAATGATTCTGTGATTCTTAAATTCACAAGGAAAAAAAATCTTTAATAGAACAAAAAGTTTAGTATTGATATGAAAATATGACATTCTAATCTGTGCGCCTTTAAATAGACTGAAATTACTAGTTATTTCTAATGAGTTATGATTAATATTAAAAACAATGAGAAATATAATTAGAAAAATAGTTTACAAAGTTATCCATGGATTTAGAGATAACTTTGGGATTTATACCTTATATGTTTTTTAGTCAGTTTCTAGTCCTTTCATATGTTTTAGAATTCTATTCTACATTAGTCTCATTTATTTCAAATCAATTTGTCCTCAAGGCTTCATTGGGTGTAAGAAAAGTTTCACACCATCATGAGTCATTTGTACATGATCTATCATCTTATTACTGACTGTAATAATAAACCTTAGAAGTTTGGTACAAGTACCAAACCTAAATTGAGCTTAGAGTAAAATAATAAAGGATTAAAATTACACAGTCTGTAGAGTGATTAATCATACAATTATATACAAATTATTTGAAGCTAAGGTCAAGTCTCACTGATTCAGTTCAATTTATGAAGTCTGATGAATCAAATTATAAAGGATCTTATTGGCTACATCTATCTAGCCTTCCATTTGAAGTGAATTGTATTTTTCAATTTCAGTAGCAAATCAAATCTCTGTCAAAAATTATGCAATAGGGAAATAAATTTTGCCTTAATTGTAGGGGATAGATTATGGAAATACGAAAAAATCATTTATTTACAAAACAAGTTAATTAGATGGGTAGGATCATTTTTGGGCAAGCTATAACATTTACTATCTTTAGGAAAAGATCAATGACCACAAAGAAATAGTTTGCTCTTAACATTCTAAATGAGAATCTCTTAATGAAATTCATCAGTGAGTCTACCAATAACCTTTCAAAAATTAGTAATAATATACACAATCTTGTGTTTTGTAATAATTGATAAGTGTGCCACACTATTCTATATTCACTAAACATCTTTGATCTCTCTATACATCACTTTCTGCATCTTGCTTGTGTTTGTGCCATGTATAGCATTCTTCAACCATCGTCTTATGACATCATAAATATTACCCAATCCTTCATACAACATGTAGACATATCTTGGATGTTTCCCTATTTGTGAAAACTCCACCATTTGCATCTAAATCTTTTTAAGGAATAAACACACTTAACCTCTTAATTGACATATCTTGGATGTTCCATATGTTATCTCCATATAAAAGGTAAAGAACACATTACCCCTTCTAATGAGTGCATTTCCATGCATTTGTTTCTATTTTTATTTCATCCTAAAAGTAAATTTCTAAATACATGAAACCCATGTAAGATGTATTGTATTAATGCTAGTCTAATTATTAATAGTGGTGATCATTAAGCCGTAATATTTTTTGTTAAAGTTAGTTCTCCCATGCTTCAAGACAAATGTAGTAAGTCATGTCATTATTATCTTTTAATATTAATAAGTTTTTTAGTGGAAAAAGTTACAACACTTAACTCTTGAGATATTAAAACTCATACTCCCCCAATTTGATGCATGAGAATCTATTTAAAATACTTCTTAAAATTTGGTATAAGAGATAAAGGACCAAGCATAATTGGCAAACATTAGAAAGTTTACTTCATAATCATACTTCACAAAGTGCAGACAATTCTAAATAGGCTATTGCAAGGTAAGTTATTTAATTTATCAAAGTAAATTACTAAGATAGTATGGTTAACCTGATCATCATAGTTGTGGTAAATTAACATGTGAGAATCAAACTAAGAAAATGCCTCATTTTGGAATCAAATAATTTTAGCATGTATATTTTTTCATAATTTCATCTTCCTCCCTTTTTTTATAGAATATTCATTAGAAATTTAATTCAAAGATGAATGCAATTCAAAACCTAAACAATAAAATTCAAGATTTTTATCAAATGAAAAAATTATAATTTTTCTGAATTTAAATTTCAGGTGTGGATATGACAATTGATCACTGAATTATTAGTCATTAATAGCCACTGTAAATAATTGTTTGATGCCTCAAACATTATTCTATATTAAGAGAAGACTTCATCTCCATCAAAGGAGAAAGAGAAGAAGAGTCTTTGCATTCATTTATACCTTTCAAGTAGTCCACATGAGCCTACAAGTAGCTTTACCCAAAAAGAGAAGAAAACTAAACATTATGAAGACATTCAAGAGGAAGGTTGTTTCTAAGATTTAGAGCTACCCAAGAAATCAAAGAAAAAATTTAGTCAGCTAAGCAATTAAAGAACACCTACTGGAACCACATTAGATGACAAATCAAGCTAAGCACATTAGTATTTTAGTTCATTTTTATTATCATTATTATCCTCTAATAATCGCATGAGTGTTAGTGTTGAGGCTTAAATTTGAAGTGAACTTATTTACTCAAGTTAGAAAACACATTGGACTATTTACATGGTTTAATCATGTAAATTTAAATTTATAAAACTAAAAAATATAATTTTTTTATATTTTTAAAAGTATTTTAGTACACATATATCAATTATAATTTGATAAAAAGTTCTAAAAATAGTAAAACAATCTTAGGTCAATCATAGAGATATAAGATAATATCATCTAAAATTATAGATTTTTTTTCAATATATATATATATTATATATAATTTTTAAATTAAATAATGAAGAGAAAATCTACTTAAAATTATGAAAAGAGAAATTTCGAGTATTGACATCAGTGTCTCAATGAATGTGATTCAGGTATAAATAGAGTTTCAACTTTCGATTATTACATAAATGATTATAGATGATTTAATTTATCAAATTAAGATTTCTAAAAACTAAAAGAATTGTAACTAATAATAGAATATGTTTGAATCATGAAATTAAATAAAATCTTATTAATTTAAAGAATAATTATGTTTAAAAGAGAAGAAATTGAATTCTAACATTATCTTAGTGATTATCAAAATTCTGAGTATTTAGAAAGATTGTCATGTGATATCTATGACTCCAAAGGCTCTCGTTAGATATGAATGATATGATTAATCTCTAAATCCTCTTGCCAAGTCTAGAAAATGATAGTGAAAGTTGATGAAGTGTCTCCAACAACTATCATCCAATAGAATTATAGTTTGGTGACATTGAATCTCCAGCAATTATTACTCAATAGAGATGAGTTGGGCGGAGGTAGAGTGTATCTTATGGAGTTTTATCATCAGGTCTGCATAGTAAGAAGAGGTTGATATCAGATTTGGTATGTTCTAGAGAGACAACAACTCGTCTCTCAATGGATCATTATGTTCTTGACGATAATGCATTTGTTAATCAATTAGAGATAATTTCTTCGATGAAATCATTATCTTTTATCCATAATCCTTCATCTTTTATTGATGATGTTTTGTGAATCATGTTGACAAAATATTTATAGATGATTGAGCAATTATCGTAGCTTGATCATTGGTTGGGAGTTTTCTAGAAAATCAGAATTTAATTATATGAAAAATATAAATTGTGGCTTTGGTAGGATTCGAACCTTTGTAGCCATGTGAGAGAGGAGTAATAATTTCCTTCTCATATCACATGGACATTTTTGACATTATTTCTTTATTTTAACTCAAAAATATAAATCTAAAAATTATATAAATTCACATAGTTAGTTATAAATTCACATTAGTTAATAAAAAATTATTTTCTTAATAAAATATAAATAGAACTCTATTTACCATGAGTTAAGATATAAAATATATTATTATTTAATTACTAACTCATGATAATGAAGACTTATTAGCTATTTACTAGGCATAGTCATATGAGACTTGAAAATATTTTGATAGTTGATTGAGTGGCTAGGGTAAGTAAAAAGGCTTGATAACATTGTGTTTGATGTTTAGTGGGTCAAAGTCAATGAAGCTGAAGAATAAATAATTGTGACTTGATTACTATTTATTGGGCCAAAGTCAATAAAGTAAGTGAAGAAGTAACAATGACTGATTTATCAATGAATTAGAGTCAATAGTATTTTAGATTGTCAAAGATAAATCTAGTTGTTAGTTCCATGAGCACTATAGTGGCTAATAACACAAAAAGATCATATGATTCTTAGTGTCATGACCACCTTGATGTAACTTTTGAAGAAGATTACTAGAAACCCAAATATTAGTTTTGAGAATCTTAAAATACTTTCATTATGACATGAGGAATCAAGTCATCTGTGAAATATAAGTTTTTACTATCCTTAAGTATGAATTGACATAAATTAAATTACATCATTAAAATAGGTGAAAATTATTGAGTTCAATGTGGCTAAGTGAAGTACTAAGAGGGAGAGGTGAATGATTTCTTAATTTTTTATATTTTATTCATGTTATGTGACGTGACTTAGTTGTTGTATAGTAAATCACGTAAATTTAAAATTTATAAAACTAGAAAATATGATTTTTCATATATTTAGAAATATTTATTAATAAATATATCAATTATAATTCAATAAAACTTTCAAAAATAGCAGTAATTTTTTAGGTCGATCACAAGGATGAAATATAATATACGGTAATTATTCAGAATTTTCCTCAAAGAATATTATTTTTTATAAATTTTATACTAGTAAATAAAAAGAAAATATATTTAAAATTCAGGAAAAAGGGAAATAAGGGTGCGGACGTTAGGATGACGTCAACGCCCGGTGAACGCAAATTGGACAGAAATAAAGTTCCACCCGGCGATTATTACGTAAGCGATTATAGACGATTTAATTAATCAAATTAAGATTTGTAAAAGCCGGAAGAATCGTAATTGAACGAAGTATATTTTGGTAAATTAAAATCACACAAATTATCACTAAATGAAGTGTAAAGTAAGTTGAAAGCAGGAAAATAGAGTTCTGGCGTTGCGGCGGCGATGCGTCGGTGATGCACCAGAATCCTAAGCGTTCGGGAGGATAGTCATGCAGTGTCCATGGCCTCGAAGGCTCTCCTTGGATAAGGACAATGTGGGCAATCTCTAGATCTCTTTGCGAAGTCTAGAGATCAATGAAATGGGTCGTCAAATTATCTCTCGTGGCTGTCACCCGGTGGAGCGGAAAAACAACGACTTTGTGGCTCTCTGATGGTTGTCACCCGATAGAGAGGAGTTGGATGGAGGTGGAGCACGTGTCAGGGAGCTTCATCCTCAAGTCCGTGCAACAAGAAGAGGCTCTTCATTACATTTGGTATGCTCTCAAGAGGTGGCGACTCGTCTCTCAATGAATCGTTCTCTTCCTGACGACGGCTTGTTCGTCGATCAATTGGAAATGCTTTACTCAATGGATTCACGATCCTTTTATCGCAAATCGTTCAGCAATTTTAGTAATAATGCTCCGCGAATCGCATTGACGAGATTTTCGTCGATGATCTAGTGATTCTGATTACTTAATCTTTCATCGGCGATCTACAGGAAAGTTGCGATAATCAGATAAAAAAATATGAATTTTGGCTATAGAAGGATTCGAACCTGCGCCAGTTGCCCACCATCTCTGGGAAAGATGTTTAGTCGCACATCGGTTATGCGCCGAAATTTCTGGTGAATATATAGTAATATTACATTTCTAATCAAGTCCTTTTCTCACGCGTGTACAACCACTCCTTGCCCCATAGCCGGCTGACCACCAGTGACGTCGAAGGGGGGTGGCGCACACGTGCCCCTATCGGTCCAAGCCGCTGGAGCCCCTACTCGCGGCTACTCCCTGACTGCGCTTTTGACCAGCTTGCAGGCCCAGCTGACTAGTGGGTCCCCCCCATTTTGTCTTATTTTTATTTTAATTTATTTTTCTTCATTTATCTCAAAAGTAAGACTATAAAAATCATATAAATTCGTATAAAATCACATAATTACCTAAAAATTCACGTTAATCAATTGAAAACAACTTTTCAAACTTTAACACAAATATAACTCTATTTATCATGAGTTAAGGCTAAAACTATATTATTTACTAATTATTAACTCATGATAATGAAGACTTATCATTATGTCTACGTGTATATGTGTCAACACTTGTTGTAATACAATTTCTAAATCATATATGTAAGTTCACCTAAGTTACTTCTTTTCATTATAAGGTTGTTCTAGTCTCTTTTACTCACTCCTAAATACAATGGACATAGAGGTTTTTATATTAGTTCACCCTTCTTAAGGCTATTTTCAATCTCAAAGAATTATTTTATTATATTTTCATTATTTTCCCCTAGAAATACAATTGACTTCACAAGTTTAACTCTCCCAAACACCACTTTTTGATCTCTACATATCTCTCACCTCTCATGGGCAAGTCTTGACTCCCAACACTATGTGTCTAAGTCAATGTACATTTTTATTTAGATAACATCATCATCTACAAGTGGATTTTAGCTCTCAACAACTTGTGGCTTAACTTTACCCTCTCTCCACTCACCACCTAGGTTATCTTAGGGCTTAATAGAGAGAGACAACCTTCAGTGTAATTGAATGATTCTAAAATTGTCACACATGATTAAGCAAGATAGGGTTTTGATTTTCTCTTTGAATTATACAATCTCTTTGGCATAGGGGATTGAGTAAGATCTTTTTTCTAGCTTGAGTGAATGATGTGCATGGATTTTTTTTATTCAACATTAACACTGATTTGTTTTTAGTTCATTCTTCTTATACCCCACTATATCTTTGTCATTTCAATATCTAAAAATAGTTATATTAATTTGAAAGTCTTCATATTGCTTTGTTAGTACACCAGTGACCTTTAGTTGTTTTAGAATTATAAACTTTCTACTATGGTGATTGTTGTCCACAATATTTTATCTAGAGATGATTGATGAATATTTTCTCTTTCTAGATCTTACTTAGAGGAAATTATTTAACTTTTCTTTAATCCACATCTTCTACTGACGAGTTACTATCCATAATCTATACTTTTGACATTCAATTATACTTCAACTCAGATTTTTTCACTCATAAGTATGTTGTCTTTGATATTATATAAATAGATTTTTTAATTGATCAACAAACATCTTTATCTTCAATGTTGAGTTAAGATAGCGTCAATGAGTTTATCATTTTATCTACAAACTCTAATGATGTATTATTTTCTAGAGTATGTGAGATTGACCTTGAGTCTTTCTTTGCTTTGAAATGTTCAGGTCTTTCATAGATGATATTCAAAGGTTCTTTATAAAGATTCCTAACACTTAAATGAATGACCTTTCTTTTGAGGCTAAGTTGAAGTTCGTCACTTTATTTTGTCATATCTATATTTAAGTGTTGTCTCTTTATAAACTTAGGTGCCTCATGTACAAGGATCCCTCAAAAATAAATGATCCATATTCATATTTTATATGATGAAAATAATTTTTCAACACAAGTTGGTGCCTCATGTATGGGCACATGTATATGTAATAATAATTGTTTGTGACACATGTATACAAGTTGGTGTCACATGTATGGACATACTAGTACTTGCTAGAAATGTAAATGAAAGATCAATACAATGTAGGAAATGACACAACAAATTTTGAAATTTTTTATATGTTACGATTTTTATAAGACTAACATATATATTCAGCATTTAGATTCTATGTGCAAATGTGACCTAACATGGATCATCATCCAACTATTGGAATCACAATTAGAGGGCCCATTATACTCAATATTTCAACCACATTAGGGTATAAAAATAATAGAATTTTTTATAACAACAATAATTAATTTCTTCTTCTTCGTCTTCCTCCAAGACGTCCTTTGTTATTAACCATTTTCAAGCTATTATTTACTCCATCTTGGCTTAAAGACTTCCTCCACTTAACAGCAGCATTCCAAGCAAATACTTCTATGATCTTAATCAATAAGAATGCTTACTATTCTTAAATTCATTCTAATTTTACTAAAATCTCAACATCAGCACATACGCTGGCCAATGTCTAGATATTTAGTGGTTGAATGCAATATAAAATAAGATAACTAATTACTCAATCCACTGAACTAGAAGGATTGACCCTAAAGATTACAATACGTCAAAGCCTTTTTTACTCTAGACTACATTATCCATGTTCCTATCCTTTAAAATTGTCATGTATAATTGTATTATTATATAAATAAATATTTTATTTTATTAAACAAATATGGTTAGATGCCAATTCTTAGTGTAATAGCACTACCACAAACATATTCATTCTAGCCATAAGAGGAAAAAAGCATGTCTTGCTTATCTAAGATTTCCAAGTTCAAATGATTCCTTTGATGTCATTCTTGAAGGCAATAGAGTTAACAGGGCGTTGTTGTTGGGAATATAACTGTACTCATTGTCTTTCCCAATGAGATATCCTCAAACTAACTTTCTTGGCTCCTAATAATATTTTAAAATATTTAACTAATGTTAGACGTGAATGAGTGTGATCATATGTAATGTCATGTGGTAGCTTAGAAAACGGGTTTAAAAGTGAGCTCCGATGAGGCTTGGACACTGGACCAAGAATAAAACGTTGACGCTCATTGCCACAAGAACGACCAAGGGAAAGGCATAAATAATAAATGTGCCTTCTAACTTTTAAACTAGTTTGAAGTTGACTTTGGGTTCACCTTCTAAGAAGTTGAGTTAACATATTTTGTCAAACTATTTAGATGGTTGCCAAATTCAGACGCCATTTTTAAATAAAGAATGAATTAACATTTTTAACGTAATTTAAATAAAATCTGAGTGAGAATACTTAAAGGAGAAAATATTTTAAAGTATAATGGTATTTTTGTAATAATATGATCACGGGATGGTTTATAAGTGAATCTCTTGGCCCCTCGCATAAAGAGGGGAGGTCTTCTGGTCAGTACGGAGGACCGTTCCTCTCCCCGGGTATAGCCCCTTCCCGGCTTCCACCAACACGATGTTCACCACCACGACCCCCTTCCCCGGCGCGGGCGGTGGCGGCGGCGGCGGTGGCAGCGGAGGCAGCGGAGGCAGCGGCGCTGGAGGAGCATACGAGCAGCCGAGTGCGGGCATGCACCCTTATCCCGTATACCATCTCGGTGGCGTCGGAGTGGAGCAGATGAACGCCGCGCTGTTGTATCCCTACACACTCTATCCGCCGTTGGGAAGGATGGGGCTGGGGGGGATAGGGATCGGAGGTATGGGTGGTGTAGGAGGTATGGGACTGCACCACCAACTAGATGTTTCGCGAAAGCGAGGCCGGGAGCTGGACCACGGAGCTGGGGAGTACCGGATGATGGAATACGACGAATCAGGGGGCTTGGCCTCTAAGCGCAGGGCGGCAGGGCAGGACGTGATATTTAGGATGATCGTGCCATCGAAGCAGATCGGGAGGGTTATCGGGAAGGAAGGTTGTCGGATCCGGCAGATAAGGGAGGAGACGGGCGCCACCATCAAGATTGCTGATCCCATTGTTGTGAGTGCATTTCGTTATTTCCAAGGAAGTGAAAATTATCATCGTGTTCTTCTTCCAGAGTTTATGATTATGACTCCTTATTGCTGAACGTGATTTTATTAGACTATGATGTGTCGGGTTTGTTAGAGCTTTGGTCAAATAATTTTCTCTAAGTTTGGGTTGAGTTTGATTTAAAATTTTGCTTCTCAAGCTTGGTGCCTACAGTTGGATGGGGGAAAAGTTTGGTTGATGTTTATATTAAACTATATAGATCTATTCTCTTTCTATATTTACTAGAGTGGTTTTATCAGTTTTGGGTTCTAGGGTGAAAGAACGTAGATATATATCTATGTCATTTCAGAAGCATGCTTCGCTGGATCATAAGATTAGGACATTTTCAAGACTCTTTAATGTAGGCAAAGCGGCCCTTTTTCTCTCTGCATCTTGTGATTTAGTTCGCTACAACACTTGCCTGAGGGAGTTCAGACTTTTGTCTGAAGATTAGAAATCAGATGGGCTGAATGATTACATCGCAAGGGAGTGTTTGTTGATTCTGTTTCCCAGGATTTCCTGTGCAGTACCCATAGAACCTCTCTCTATCTCTCTCTCCCTCGTTCTACTGTCTTTTCTGAAATCCCACTAAAGTTTATGAGGGTAACGCCGAGATTCTTGGTGCAGGAGTTTTTCAATGCTGGGTTAGAAATCCATATAAGACATCACATCATTTCCCGTGGGTAAAAGTTCCTCAAGAACCATATTCCATTCACCTGGTCTCAGGGGGGGGTACAATGGTTCATCATGTGCAGAATATTAGTCAAATGTTCATTGTAATGTTATTTTCTAACTTAATTTTCCAGGTTATATAACTGAGGTTACTGTTAGTTCTGTTCTTCGAGAAGAAAAGGGGAAAAACATAATTTCAACTTCCCTATTTTTTTCAGCCACATGAGGAGCGTGTAATCATAATCAGCTCTGCTGTTGATGAAGGCAAAATATCAAATGCAGAGGCTGCTCTAAATTACATAGCCAAGGCTATTCTTAAGGTGTGTGCTTCTTTTAATGATGCATCTATTTTGTGTTAACTAAGCTTTTTTGGTAAATTTCATAATTAATCTTAGCCTTTGGGATAATTTGTAAAAGTTTCTGCCACACAATTTCGGGACCTTTTTTCCCTCTTTTGACCTGAGCCAAACTTATCCCTCTCATCAATTGACCCACTGCTCTCGATTGTATCTCCTAAAGAAATTGAAGACCTCGATTTTAAATGCACAATTGTCAAATGTAGATTTTATTTACTTTTCTTGTAGTATAGTGTCTGTTGAATAAGACTTTTGTTGAATAGGATCCCTTAACTTTTGTCTTTAGTTTGCCATATCATATCCCCGATCCATGTCATATAGATTGGAATGAGATGATAGCCAGTAAAATTAATAGAATTCATTCAGTCTACTTGGTTGAAAGATAAATTTTTGAATTCTTCAAGCTGGAAGACGAATTTTTTCCACTCATGGGAGGGAGCTGCCTTCTCGTAAAGTTTTATCTCACAAACAATAAAACGACCCAAAAAATACCCATAAAGCTTTCTTTAAAAAAAAGAAAATGAAGGGAAGGGGAAGGAACGGGTTAGGGTAGTGGCCCAGTAACAAAATGGGATTGTCCCATGAGCTACCGGTCCAATTGCCACAGTGCTGTATGTGGAAGAAGACGGGCTTCGCTTACTGAATTAGCATCCAATGACAACCATTTGTTGGTTGGGGTCCCATTCATTGGGTTGCTCTGATGTCATGAAAATCTTGTCCACTGCTGAAGGGGCAAGATACTCACCAGAAGTCGCCTACCTTTCAGAGTAAATCCTCCCATGAATGCTCTTGTCTCATCTGTGTTGAAATGAAAAGAAGAGAAGAATAAAAAAAGGGCCCTCGCTCGTTACAAACAACAGCTGATGGGGAGGATTGCCTTGACCCTATGATGCGCAGGCAAATCAGTGCTTCAAAGTGGATGAAGGAATCCACATGAATCCAAGCAAGACGTAGGGCTGTTGGGGCAGGGACCACATGAATCCAAACAAGAGGGTCTAATTGACGCCCTCTGCATGCTGCTGGGGAACGCAAGATTCTTCCCTCGAACCGCAAATCAGCAAATAAACAGCAGCAGTTGTGGAGGAAGAACAAGGAAACGAGTGAGGTGAAAGGTACTCTACTAAAGCAAGACTAAGCACCAATGCCACAATAGGAGGAGCTGAAAGACAGAGCCACATGGAGGTCCTCATTTGTCTGGAAGAAGGATCACTGTTGGAGGTGGAGAAAACAGTAGCCGATGGCAGTTTTGCGACATCATTCCCGTACCATTATAGGTGTCGTAATAAGGTCAACAAAGTGATTTTGGAAAATAATCTGGTGTTTTAAACCCTTTGGCATTGAAGTGGAGCATGGATCACGGCAAATGAACCCAATCCCATTGGAATGATGTGCACTTGTGGCCACTGACTATGGCTAGAAAATTATAAAATGGGAACCTCCACCACCCATTGACAAGCATAGACAAGTGTTGGAGACAGAATGAGGAGACTTGTCGAAGAGAGCAGGTGAGCATCAGGCCCATTTCTGAAACCCTATACCTGGCTCATCACTAGAACACGTGGTTCACCAACACCCAAAAGGCTTAGTTCAAGCCATTTCGACCAGCCTCCAAAAAATAAATTAATGAAGCCTTTTGTGGACCTCGCGTGTCCATTACTCAAACACATTTTTTGTGAGCTTGTGGGTCTTGTGTGAGCCTCACCTTTAGAAATCCAGTCTAGTAGTAAAGGGGTTTTGTGGCCTTTTTTGTACATAGCGTTTCATGCCTTATTTGACCACTTATTCTGTTCTTATATCTTATTTTTAATGACCTTGGGCATCTTATGTGAAACCTATGTTAGTATTTAAATACGTTATCATCAAATAAACTTGTTATTATTGTATCATCATGAGGAGCCAAATTCAAAAAAACCCAGGAAGAAAAAGATTCATTTGATGGCCCTGCAACGATATGAGAACAAGTATCATCCCTATTAAGAATACAGAAGATAACAAGTTCATCTTCAGACTAAAATGTGCCAAAAAAAAAGAAGATAAACTACACCCCTTTCTCCATCCAACTTTGGTTCCTCCATCAAAAAAAGCCAGGTCCTACGTTAAACATCAGTTCCTTTAAATTTCCTTGATCATAGGGCCAAGAACATTCTTTGAAGCAGGTTGCAATGTAGCTGAAGGATCCGTGTTGCCTTCCTCATTCCCTAATCGCAATGGCACTTCCAGCAAGCAAATATATTCTTGACCTATGAAAAGTAAGGGGAGCGTTCCTGTACAGGATTGTCTCCCTGTCCCCAGTGTTCATTTTGTTTTTCATTTAAACTCTTTCCCATGAATGTGCAGTACTCTAGCTAGATCCAAACACAACTTATACATCTTCCCAACAAAGGCCTGTGATAACTTTTGAATAAACCTTATAACACAGGGACGCATTGATGATGTTGACAAGGCTGCGTTGTGGTTGCTTAGTATCCTACTCTGCTTTGTATTTAAAAGTCTGCTGTTCAGAATATCTGAGAATGCTGACGATTGTCACTCAGTGCTAAGGCTAATGAAACTCTACTTTAGTGAATGGCCCTTTTTGGAAGAACTAATTTGTATTCTATGTAGGTTTCCCTAGTGCCCGTGTTCTCAGGCTTACTCTCTTACTTAGAGAGAGGCCGGATCCTCATTGTGAGTCATTTAGATTATTATAATTAAATAGAAAGTGAGTCATTTTCTCTCTCTTGATAATTTCCATCAGCATTATCTGGAGATTCACTTTGCGTTGTTACTTCAATTTGTCATCCTATCTTCCTCTTTCTTTTGTTAATATAGGCGATTATCAGCATAACTTAGAAACAAATGTCACCAGTTTCGAGGACTGCCTTGTAGATACATTTATGCACAGTTAATTTTTAGACAGGATCATTTATGTAAAATGAGTAGCCATTTAAATACGCCATATTTTGATATTTAAAATTTCTCAATGGAGAAAAGATCTCCCAGTCCAAATTTCACTCTGGTGTCCAAATCTGGATCAAAAACAGCAAAAACTTCCCGGGATATGGTTCTAGTGCTGTCAAAATGTGTCTGGAAAACAAAATATGTGCACCTGTCACACTATCGTAATTCCAGATACCTGGATTAGTCATCGTTCCTTTTGTAGTAGTACAACTACCCCATGAATTGCTGCCCTGAGCACATCATTCAAAGAACCTCTGTAAAGAGTCATAGGGACATGAAATATTGATAAACAAGGCATTATGCTCTATATATTCTCTTGCCTTTGTCCAATTTCTCATTTTTGGCCTTCGTATTGGTATAGGATGATGTATTTTCTGTTTGTCATATTATTGAGTACCGCTCTTTGTAAGATTCATTTGGTTTTTTATTTATAAATTTCATGAGGAAAAAAAGGTAAACATCAATTTTTTTTCTTGGATTTCCAATGATGTCATCGTGCTTTCTCTTGTCCGGGAGAGCTTACTGAACTTAATGTTAAAATGCATGTTTCTAGTGGAGTTTTGGTCTTCTAAATTGAAGTGCTCCTTTGGTGCTGGGCAGGATAATGAGGATGGTGGAGAGGCAGTAATAGTTGGCACTGGACATGTTGCAGTAAATGCAATCCGGCTCTTGATTGCAGGTTCTCAAGCTGGTTGTTTGATTGGGGTGTCTGGTCAAACAATTGAACAGATACGGAATTCTTCAGGTGCTGCAGTCACAATTCTGGCTCCGAACCAATTGCCTTTATGTGCATCTGCCCACGAATCTGACCGTGTTGTTCAGGTTTAGTTATGAGAGCCCTTTTATGGAGAGTGCATAATTTATTTTCCTTATTTTCATTCCTTCCATTTTGGCAGGTTTTATTTATACTGGATACCCAGGCCATATGACTTGCCTTTCTAGTAGATGTATTGAAAGCTGCACTCAAACTATAACTGGATTGTGACTCATTGGTTTAGTTGTGATGAAACTATTGCACTCTGAGTATTTGTTTTCAAGGACTAAAGTAAAAAGAGAATAGAATTACGAGAATTTGTCCTGTTGAGAGACATGAGTAAGTAAAATTTTGTAGATCTATATTTTGATTTTATTTGGATTTTCTTACTGCTTGTGTTTTTTAATCAATTGAAAGAGGTGTACGTTGTATTCAAAATTTAACGATTATCTACTTTTAGTAATGCCTTGAAAAAAAGTTTATTTTGTACCAAGTGGATCAGCAGTGAAATGGATTTTACAGGTAGCTTCTGTTGAAGTTCATAAAACACATTCAATAACCCACTGGTTTTCTTTTCGTTAATGATGTCTCTATAAATTTGTACATGAGGTGGTATGATGGGGATACCTTGAAGTTGTCTGATTTATCAGCATTACGACCAGGTTTATTACCTAAATTCCGACTGTGACTCAACTGGGGTTCAGCCCCTGTGTGTCGAAGTTGTGACAACGAGTGTTGTTCTAGCAGAGACCCCAAAACGTAGTCAGTCGTATGGGGATAGGGAACTATTTTTCTGCATATCGTGTTAAAGCTCCTATTTGTCTGCGTTGAGTGTAATCAGTCGCTAGCAGTGGTACTGGAGGGATTGAATCCAGTAGCTTCTTTCAATTGGAGTGTGAATTATAGTCTCAGAGTGACAACATCATGCCTTTGTGAAAAATTGTTTGGCAAGTGGAAAGCTGCGCTCTTGATAGCTCTGGGAGAATGATTGGATCTTGATAGGCAAGTATCATGTAACGTATATTTGGTGTTGAACTTCTAAGTACGGGCCAACCATTGAAGATGTCAGGGGGAAAGTCATTAATTTACGTCATCAAGTAGAGTTCCATTATTTTCCCTTGTAAATGGGTTCCTAGAAACAATTTGATTTGGTTAAGATTATACGCTGTCATGTGGGATTCTATCAATACGTTGTGGTGAGTCTTCTAGCAGATGTCATTTGGCCATTTGCGATGTGGGTTAATGCCTGGTCCATCAGGGTTGTTTATGCCCTAAAAAATGAAGTATAGGCTATCCACGTCTTGATGAGATAACTAGATTATCAATGGTTTCCACACAGGTACATGCTTTCATAACCTGATTGTTACTGTGACACCCCTCGCTAAAGCACAGTACGCTAGGCTAACCACCAACTGATAGTTAAATTTTGGTTCCACCTGTTCCAGCTCCCTTTATAGCATGTAAGAGATTTATCTTATAAATATATATATGCTTGGAAACATTTTTACTTAGTTGATGATCAAGGATGTATCTTATGAAAATCTCTCACATGCACGACCTCCTCGTTGACCTGGGAATGCTTGAGGAATATTTGGAGTTATAATTTACTTTACTTCGATTGTAAACATACAAAGAATTCCATTGCTTTCTTAAGAAATCCATGGATTTCTGATCACGCCTATATATGTTCATTGTAACCAGGGTGGGAGGTATTAATATATTTTTCTGGGCTGTCCTTCAATCATTTACATAGGTTGTAATGGGCAGGGACCTTAATCACTGCCAGAACCTTGAAGAAAAGGGAACTAAGTTTCACCGGAGGTTCTAATATTAAATGTGCGTAAATGTGCCAATATATGGTGTATAGGTTCTTCCTTTTTTGCCAACTGAGTTACTGTTTATTTTTAGACGAGGAAATGTCGATGTCAAATTATGTTTATATGGAAGTTTAGTCAAAAGAAACTCACGTCTTATTCTTTTTTGTACCTTAATATTTGGCAGCTATCAGGTGATGTCCCAGAAATACTGACGGCATTGGAGAAAATTGGCTGTGTACTGAGGTATTGTTAGTCGCTTGATGAACCGAATCGAAATTCGTTAATGTTCTCTCCTGAATAACACTAATGGTAAATGTAGAGATAACCCATCCACAAAGGTCATTTCGATCAGATCAGGCTACCACTCTAGCGTGTCTGTATCAAATCCACCGAACACACAAGTGCCTCCTGGTCAGTCAAGTCAATCCCCGCGTGCTCCGTATAAAATTCCGCCAGTATGATAAATTTTTTATGTCTCGTTGATACCATGGCATCTGTTCCTGTATTTAATTCTGCCCCAAAACTTCAGGCGAATACATGACTTCCGAGATGACTATTATGGAAAAGTTTGTCGGTGGCTTGATTGGGAGAAACGGATACAACATTTCTAGAATCCGAAATGTATCTGGAGCAACCGTGAAGGTAAGCGTTGGGAAGATTCGAGGCCTGGTAGCCATTTTCTCCTTCCCACTGAAGGTGACCTCGATGCTTTGTCGAGATTTTTGGAGATCCATACTCGTAATCTGACTTGAACTCGTGGAGCAGACTAGTGGGCTTCTGCCCTGCCCTTCCCTCCCCTTGTGTATTTCCGCTGGTTATCCGGGGCTTGCCGATGAGACTGATGCGTCGTCTCATACTTGGAAATGGAAATGTTGATCCCTGTTTTTGCCCGATGCTTTGTGAAGGTGACGGGCCAGAAGGGCGAGAACACACGACAGATCTTCTTTGGGGGCAACGCACAGCAGGTGCGAGTCGAGCAGAATCTTCCGTCCAAGCTCTAGGATTTCCTCTGAATGGCTGATCTCTCTGAATGGTGCAGGTGGCGGTGGCCAGAATGCTGGTGGAGAACTACATGTATTCCCAGCTCGTGCCACAGAATGTCATGTAAGCGATGGCGCGGATTCGCCGAGGGATCGCTGTGTACATACGCGCGCCCCATCCCATCCCATCCAATACACCGGGGGGGCGGGGGGGGGCGGGGGGGGGGGCGAGCCCCTGTCGTCGCTGCTGCTGTGCCGACGACGACCCCGAGAGATTTCTTCATCTGGGTGGCTCGAGGAGCACCGCCTCTTACGCCTTAGCTGGCTGGTACCCACCCTCGTCGGCTGGCTCGGGATGTCTTCTTGCTGAAATAAACATATGAGAGAGAGAGAGAGAGGGAAAGATGGTGTCTTTTGAGTTGTTTGCCTGACCAATTGAGACAAGGAAGGGGAGGGTTAGTCCCCTGCCTCCCACACCCTGTTACCAAATGCAGCTCTTCCTCGCACACCCTGTTTCATGGCGATCTTCTCTGCCTTGTGATCTTCATGATCCACGGGATTTCCAAGTTTAAGGCGGCCCGCGCCGGGTGGGTGGCCTTGTTGAGAGCTCCCATGACGCAGTGGGTGGGTGGGACCGGTGAGCGAGCGCTCTTAGTCTACGCTCTGAAGAAGCGCGCAGGGGGGCACGTTCGTCACTGTCTCCCTCCCTCGATATGTTTACTCGCGCGCGTGTATTTACAATATATACTGCTGCACGTATCGTGTGCCTCTCCGGAACGGTAGATGGTGAGGATGGTAAGTCGAGAGATGAAAAGAGAGACGACCACCGATGGAAAGGGCAGAGCGGAGAAAGGAGAGAGAGGGAGAGATCAACGTGCTGGTGCAAATGGGAGGTTGATCGCTAGCTCCGGGAGTTGGAAGAGAATCCCTTCTTGACTTGCCCCTTGCGTTCATTCCTCGCATCCATGGACGCGCACGAGCCGCTGATGACTTCGTCCATGTTTCTTGAAGGGTACTGCGAGGTCTCTCTTACCCTCGACTCGACGGGGCTGTCCTGGGCACCGGTCGTTTCCCATGTAAAAGTAAGTTCCGAAACTGGAAGGTTTACATCAGAAGAAATTTCAAAGGAAGAATCAGTTTAAAACTTGATCCCGTCTCCTTTGTGCACATGAACTGTGGCTTAAGTTTACTCCTGATTGAATCTGATATGTATGCAATTCAGTGATCGGAATGTGAATCTATCCCCTTTTTCTTCTACCCATCCATTGGGGCTTCATTGCTTCTCAGTGTGGGTTGATATCCCGTACAATCTTGTCATGAGACAGTTCCCGAATTTTTAATCCTCAATTTTAATGCTGCACAGTAGCTTTGGGAGATGAAAGCTTTCTTTTCACAACACGGATCTTGAAAGTGATGTCTAGTCCAGTGGCATTCATCTACGATATGGGGATTATTATCAGGCAATAAGAATATATACCCGGTGAAAGTGCCTTTTATTTGGCACCGTAAACTGTATAAATTTCGTGACCGGATTGACTGATCTGTGCTTAGATGGTTAGTTCCATGAACCGGCCGAGTTCACAGGATAGCATCCGACTCCGAAATTGCACTAAAATCCGGATGAATAGTCTTTTAGCTGGTCTGTTGTCTAGACTCGTAGATTACGCATTCAGAATAGGTCGTGTGTCGGGAGAATGTGGTCAAGGACATTGGAAGAAATGATGCTACATTTTTCTCCCTTGATGTCATGCCCATTCATTTCATCTTGTCCCCATGATGCGAATTTTTTTTTCTCTTTTTTTTGCTTTTCTGTTTCATGCCGCTTCTAAATGAATACGTTCTCATTGATAAAAAAAAAAAAATCTTCAGAGGAAAGGAAAACTAGACTACTGGAGTTTGTTTTCCATCTGATTCTCGACTACATATGTCACGTATTTCAGCGACAAAGATTATTTTATGCCCATGCCCTTTAGGATGTCACGGAATGCTTTCAGCGATGCACAACTCTCTGGCATTTGGTTTGAAGATGAAATTAACATAGATGCCATAACCAAGTCTTATTATATGTTGTGTTTATCCAAGTTGAATAAGGCTTTTAATGTTGGTTTTCTTTTGTGAGCTGACAGAAATTAGAGACATGCTATGGGATTAAATCTTCGTCAAAGTCTGAAAGTAGGATAGGATTCTCGGATGTCTATGCTGTTGAGTGCGTGGATCGAGGGTCATTTCACGTTCTCATTCGCAAAATCGGTGCACCGCGTCCATGCTGTATGACTGAGGTTTTAAACTATGGCCATCTCATACCTATTCTTTTATCTGTGTAGCTCAGTATTTTTTGTTCTTCTGCGAACTTTTATGGGTAATATTTTTCCAAAAGAAGCAAACCTTGGAATGCTGGCTGATTTCCTTTTCTCCCTCACGAAGATGCACCGTTTTGTGGTGCATGGCTTTGAAAGGTCGAGAACGTGCAGGTGTACATGGGTTCTCTCATCATACACGTTTGGGAACAAGGATCCACAGGCATGTCGTACGTGGATTGAAGAAATTAACAGCCGCATTAGCATTGAGATGAGCCGGCCAAAAAATCTTTGGGTATGTAATACTCTCTTTCATACAAGCCACATCGAAAAAAATTACTTCCCTGACTCCACTTAATTTCTCTTGGCTCAGGTATTTGTTCATCCATCTAGTGGCAGGGGCAATGGTTGGAGAACTTGGCAGACTGTCGAACCTGTATTTTCTCGTGCCAAAGTGAAGACAAAGGTGTACCCTTCTCAAGCTTGGGGAGTAAATAGATGTGTCTTTTAGAAGAGACAGAAATAAATCTACTTAATTAAATGTTTCAGATATTTGTATTCTGTGTTTGACTCCTTCATTGAGAGCTAATTAAGGTATGTGCCTGGCAGGTAACTGTGACAGAGAGGGCAGGGCATGCATTTGATCTGATTGTCTCTGTTGCAGACGAGGAACTGAGTGCATTTGATGGTGTTGTTGCTGTGGTATGTCACTAGAGACTACAGCGTTTCTTTCTTTCTTTCTTTCTTTCTCTAGACTTGCATTTTGGTTAATTTTTCCATGCTAAAGCTTAAATCTGCTACATACAATCTCCCTGATGAACGTACAATTTTCCTCACTGCTTCAGTATTTTACTGTTGCGACTGTAGGGTGGTGACGGCTTCTTCAATGAAATCCTTAATGGACTTCTTTTCTCAAGACACAAGGCTCCTTCCCCCCCTGTACCCGTAGAATTTGCAAACTATTTTGGGAATGATGGTGAAGTTGAACGATTCAGATTGAACAATGACTCTAAAACCAGAGCTTATGCTTCTGATTTTAATGCTAGTGTTAGTCAGCCTGAGGCATCCTTCACAAATGAAGATGATCCTCTTCTTTCAACATCAGAATCCTCAGGTCAAGCATTTTCAGACTTCAGTACGCATCAGGCAATCCTTATTCTAGGGTACGCACGCCTGGAATTCACTAGGCATTTAGGTGAAACTCAACATGCTTATTTTGTATCGCAGGAAAGGAAGATGGAGCACATCGCACTGGTGAGTTTGCTCAATACAACGTCGAAATGAACGTAACTTTTTTCTTCACTGAATAAAGTTATGGCTGCAGCACGTATGGCAGGTTGTCAGTTAAACGTATTCATGTGTCTCTCTGGACTAATCTTGTATATTTTGTTCTGAAAATGTTTCAGGTCAAGATCTTTCATCCTTCTTCCCCAATGAATGGTTTAGACTCGGAATCATTCCTTCAGGCTCGACGGATGCCATTGTGGTCAGGTAACTCCTTTGGTGGCGGTATAGGCTGTTGACTGCATCCGAGCAGTTTCTTTTTCTTTCTTTTGAGGGACAATGCCTTAGCAAAGGATCTGAGGATTAACCAGGAAGTTAAACGAGGCAGATGCATGATTTGACATCAATTCGGTTATCATCAAACTCCTATTTCGTACCTGAAATTTTGAAATCTTCTGGTATTTGACTTGTTCTTCGAAATGTTCACAAATATCATCCTTTGTTGTCTTTATGTCTCAGTTAATTTTTCTTTCCCTGTTCATCTTCTTTGTTCCCTGAAAATAGGCCGTGACATTTTGCAGTACCACAGGTTCACGAGATCCCATAACATCTGCATTGCACATAGTTCTTGGTAAGAGGGTGCGTCTTGACATTGCTCAGGTGGTGAGACAGGATGCTGGTTCTTCGTCATTTACACGTTATGCTGCTTCTTTTGCAGGGTAACTTCTTACTGGTTGCTCTTATTATACGAACGTTATAAAATTATCTGGCGTCCAGTAAATCATGGTCGTATTATGAATACTAAGTAGCTTTTTGTTTCATTCTCAGATGCAAGGATTCAGTTTTACACAGCCTGTTCATTCTTCCTTCGTCTGTGAAAACGAGCACTTTAATTTTTAAGCTAAAATTATGCAAAATCCTTGTCCTTCAAATCAACTATTCTTCAGATTCTTTCCGCAATAATTGAAATGTGTTTTACCCTATGAATCCTAGTCATTAAGAGGCACGGTTATTGCTTATAGGAAGTGAAAATTCTGGTTTGTTGTCAACCTTGGTTGTTTATTTGAGTAATAATAACCCAGTGATAATATAAAGATGTGGGAGGAAAAAAAAACTACTCAAGGGACTGAGATGAAGTTTATAGACAGGAGGCACCAAAAGCTTTAAATCGAACTAGCCATATTTAGTGTTGGCCATTGAGGAAATGTCGTCAACTAGTGAAATCATGCCTTCCACTGAGACACGATCTAGGAGATGGAAAGCGTGTTTCCACTATGACGTAATCTTGAATGCGTGTTTCTTTGATTCTGCCACCTTTTTAATTCACGGAATCTTTTCACTCGCCTCCCAATAAGTTTTAGCACATGACTACAATAAAAACTCAGTCAACTAGTTTTCTCCTGCTTTAGTCCTTGAAAAATCTTTAAAAATGTAAGAATCCATGTATAAATCCCTAATTACTCCAAGGTTCTGTCGTTCTTAACAGAAACCCTGCTCCAACCGATCAAAGGAATGCCATTGGCCACTCATTCTTATTCAGTTAAAAGTTACCGTTGTTCAAACCACGCTATCGAGATTTCCAGATTATGCGGCGGACTTTGTTTCCCCTAAATAATCTATCCTACTTGAATCTCCACAGTTACGGTTTTTATGGAGACGTCATGAAGGAGAGTGAAAAATATCGATGGATGGGCCCAAAACGGTATGATTACGCGGGAACAAGGGTGTTTCTGAAGCACAGGTATCTTCTACCGGGCATCTCACGCACATATTCATCCAAAGCCTCGATCGATATCCTGCCCTTTTTTGACTGCCGTCATTTTTCTCTCCTTTGTTCACGTCAGGTCGTATGATGCAGCAATTGCTTTTTTAGAGGATGAAACATTGAACTCAGCTGCTGGGACAGGTTTTCGGAACAGGGGGTCCCAAGACACAAGGATTTCAAGCGAGAAAACGCCGAGATCGAAATGTTGTGTAGATTGCGCCGTTTGCAGGGAAAGCACCCGCCCTGCAACTGCCCTAGTAAATGGAGATTCAGCTTTGAGGTGGTCCAGATCAGAGGGGCGTTACCTCAGTGTTGGAGCGGCCGTGATCTCCTGCCGCAATGGAAGGGCCCCCGATGGTTTGGTCGCCGATGCCCACCTCGCGGATGGTTTTCTGCATCTTATACTAATTAAAGATTGTCCCCGCCCGCGGTATTTATGGTAAGTCGTCGGATACTTGCTCACATCTCGCGCCGTCTTTCTCAACTGTCCTATATATTCGTTCATGTTCTCAACAGTTTTATCCATACTTTCCTATCGCGTTTCAAAATCTTTTACACGTTTAGATCTGAAAAAAAATATTTTTTCCTGAATCTCCATTTCCTGTGCTGTTTAATATCGTGTGGTGGGTATCGTTGAAAAAGAACATCCTTTATGAAGTCTGCTTGAAACTCGGCTGAACTCCGAGATCATAGTAAGACGATGGAAACCTTTGTAATTGATATCGGAATCCGATGAGTGCTCTGTAGCTTCAAAACCTTGTTAACCTAGGCGAAAGAACTGCTCTCTTCCACCTCGTCTGAGTCTTCACACGGCCCGTTCGTCTGCTTCTTCTTTAGGCACCTCACCAGGCTCGCGAGGAAGGGAGCGGACCCTCTCGGCTTCGAGTTTGTGGAGCACCACAAGGCAACTTTCCTGGCCTGTTCTTCGTTTTGCTGTCTCCATCGTTTCCTCGTCCCAACTAACCCTTCTGTCGTGATTAACATACAGACCCGGGCGTTCACCTTTACTTCGTCGGGCGAGGAAAGCGTCTGGAATCTGGATGGGGAGCTCTTCCCGGCGCGGCGGCTCTCTGCGCAAGTCTTCCGAGGCCTCGTCAGCTTGTTCGCTGCCGGTCCTGAATAGCGCGAGAGATAGAGAGAGAGAGAGTTCTGGCTGCATGACCAGGCACCCGCACCATAGCCAACAAACTCTTTTTGGAATTAGACAGATCCCTACTGCTGGTTTGGATTGAAGGGAGGTACTTCGCCTTCAGTTTTCAGAGAAACACAGAAAATGAGGCTGCTGCCGCCCGTTTAGAATAGCCCAACCTCGTCTCTAAAAGAACTGGTTGTATGGGGGGAGGATCCTCTCGGGATATAAGACCATGCTTCAGCATATGTTGTACGTAAATCCAGCTTTAACGCGCGATGAATGGTCTTAAAACCGGGATATATTGTAACAGCACTGACAATTCCTTGAACGCATTAGTAGATGCAGGAACCAAAAGGAAGCTGGCTAGCATGGCCGACTAGCGACAGCCCAGAAGGGCTGTTGCAGTAGACGCCCGTCATATCTGACTGAAGAAGCAACCCAGGACATGATTGGCGATGATGAAGCCTTCCAATGAGTGAGGGCCACCAGAAAATTCCCAAAAGAAAAAGAAAGAAAAAAGGAAGGGGATTCCTCACGGCCATACTGAAGAACCTGATTATGTTGCACCACGGTACCAAGAAAAGCCGCACGGTCGGATCATCCCACGGTGAGGAGCTCGATAGTGATGAAAGAAAGAACGGGTGAACTTCGCCAGACCTCACAGCCATGGCGTGCCCTGGTTTACCTGCCACCCTCCGGTCCGGTGGCCACGGCAGCGTCTCGTCTGAAACACAGCACAGCACAACACAGCCAAGAAATAGCTCCTCACAGATCGAAGCGGGAATCACAATCAGACGACGGGATGAAAGGACCACAGTGAAGTTGGCCCGAGGAGCAAGCTTATGAGGAGGCCGACTGCTTCTTCCGGAGGCCGAATAAATTCTCAAACAATTTGGGGGCCGTGGGAGGAAGAACCATGGGCCTCGGGGCCATGAAGTTGACAATCTTGTCATGGACGTTATATCTGCAAAGCAACGACCAGCTGTTATGGAAGAACCCAGAGGAGCATGATGGAGACGGGCGTCTGCATGGGAAAAGAGGCTGGCAACCACCTTATCTTCCGGTTCTTTGATGCGCGCCGGTCAACAGTCTTACGCTTCTTTGTCTGGAACTTCTTGAAAGCATGCAATGATGGTTCTGAAATAGAAGCATTTCTTTCACTACAATGGACTAGTGGAAAATATGATAGAAGAACTAAGAATTGGAGAATGGAGAGTGAGCCCATCCAATGCATGAACACTGCGGGAATGAGCACCAACGGCCTACCTGACGACAAATCAAACGTTTCAAAGAATTCCTTGAGGAGCTGTTGGTAGAACTCGGAGTCATCAATGAGTTCAGGATCTCCATCTACATTTCCACCCTAAAAGCTCACAGAAGATGAAGTAAAAACAAGGAATTGAGTGCTTTTAAACAAGCAACCCAATGCTTCTATGAGATTTAAAATTCACGTTCATAAATAGAGAAAGGACAAGGTCAAACCTCTATGCCTACTGTAGTGGGCCCTTCAGCGCCCTAGCTTATAGCAACCAGCACATCTCAGTATTTTATTATCATTGCTAAAAGAGAGGAGGTGGGGGGGAGGGATCCTCAGGAACCGTAGTAGAGGCAAGGAAACCGTACCTCACCAAGAACGCCAACAGAGGATCTCTTCAACGTCATCCTATCAATCATTCTACTTGGATCTCTCATGTGTGCGGCCACTTGGTCACTGATATTCTGCAACAATAGAATGTGGAAATGAACACCGAAATGGAGTAATCAGGTGGGCCATCGTAGATCAGGAATTACAGAAGCACTGGAAATTAACCTTATTGAAAGCATGTAATTTGCTTTTGAATGCAGCTGCACCACTCGTCAATTGTGTCTTCTTCTGCCATCTGTCTATTGAACTATTCCTAAATGAAACTATTCTGCAGACAACAACGAATGACTAATTACATAGGAGCAAGTCCACAAGCTTTCGTAAGTGCATAAATGTTGACCCACAAGCAAATCATCGATCATGCAAGTGGTGGTATTCAAAATTCACATTATTTGATTTAATAATGCTTAGTCCATTGATCCTTCAAAAGGAGTTCCAAATGACAGAACTCCAATTATGCCATGAGAGCATCAATTGGGCTTCAGAAGCTGACAATTTTTTTCTTGACCCGATTCAGACTTTTCAAAAGCTCCACTTAAAGCATCTGATAAAATCGACTGTAACTTATGCAACAGCTCACTGATGCAGGCTCCATAATGGCTTCTGCCAAAAAGGCATAAGATTTCTACAACAACCCCCACGAGGTCAACCAAATACCTATACAAGCTTGAACCATTACTCCCTCCCACATTTATTCAATTATTCACAAGTCGGATTGCAAATTAGTTTTCAGATTCAGGTCTCGGAAGTATCAATCTTTTATGGCTTTAGAGGAGTTGAATTGCACAAGGTTTTTGGAAGTTCTGATTTTCTTGATCCAGAACAAGAATATAAAATTATTACCTACCTTGATGTCAGTGTACTGGATAAGTAGTTGATCTAGAAAACGATAGCTTACATATAATGCTTTCTGTCATTGTTCTTTAACTAAGTAGTTGGTTCCTTGTCTACTCAAAACGGCTCAAGGTGATTGAGCAGAATGACACCATTAACTCACTTTAGAAGAAAATAAATGAAAATACCCGAAAAAGCGATATTTTTCCCACAAAAAGAGTCTGAGGAGATGGAAGAATCTCAATATGAGAAATGTCACTGATCACGAAATGTCACTATAAAGAAATCTCAGGGTGCCAATATAAAGAATTACGGAAAATTCCACAAAAAGATGGATCCATAAATGACGTCAGGATTACTCACTACAACATGAGAAATGTCATTGATCACGAGAATAAACTTAAATATAATCAAGTGGCAGCATGAAGAGGTATAGTGAAAAAAATAACAGAATAAATATATGGATGCTACAGTTTGAAAACCTGCATTGCATCCTTTGTATTTGCAACCAAATGTCATCATTCGCAATTTCCAGCGTATTAGATGTATCTGCAAGAAAAGTGGTGCAAGTAACTTTTATCCCAGATGAGCCAAAACATGAGAATAGCCTTGTAAGTTATTGAGGACACACAGCATATCGAAATGATAAATAGACACAACAACAGAGTTGATACAACATGATTCGCAAAGCAAAAAACATTGATATTAAGAGGGGGGGAAAAAGATCAGCTACAACATTCTTATTTTTTTAAAACAAAGAATAATCAGGATTAGAATAACACCATAACAAAAAGCTCATCTTACGAGTCAAAAAAAAGTTATCACCTCGTACCAGCTAGGCCAACACTCCACATCTCATCAACATCCCAGCAAAGATTATGAGAAAAATTACTGTTTATTATTATGTACATCGTTGAGTATGATTCACAGTTTCTACACGGAATGCAGGTATCAATAAGATTCTGTCTTCCATCTTCCTCGAGTATGATTACGGTTTGGGAAAAATAGTAAAGCAAGCTTTGATTGAAGTATCAAACAGTGAATTCTCACACACATTAATATCATCAACTCTTCTTCCTTATACCTCAGCTGTCCCTTGTTTCAGACCAACATTGATGATAAGCTAATCAATAAAATAGGATTCTATGTAAATATTATTGAAACTAATATGCTCATAGACATTTTGTTTATTTTTCACATTTTTTTTCTAACCTTATCAACCAGCCACTCAGATAAGCCTGCTTTCACATGGCCACATTACGAGAAAATTAAACCAAGAGAAACAGCTGCATTATGAAAACATCAAGCATTCTACCAGGAAATATGCACCAGATATTTGATTAAGCTTAAGTTTCGATTTAAGTAAGAAAGTGATGGGAACAAACACGGTAATAAAACCCTTTGCTAATACCATCATTCTCCAGAGAAATGGAACCGTTCTTCTCAACTAAAGCCTGCAACAAAGAATAGAATTAATTTATAAAATTATAACATTAAAAATTACATATTGAAACCAAGCCTTATTGATACATTGACCAAGACACATTTTAACTAAATTGTCGCCTAACCTCTTGTAGTTCTAACATACTGTTTAATGTCTGTTCGGATGACAGGATAAGCTCTGAGTATGCCTTGTCAATGGTTTCATCACGATGACAGAACTGGGATCTTAGAGGTTCCTGAAATATATAATAAATTAATGTTCATATATATCAACGTCCAAGTCTCAGACATACTGGTTTCACTAAATTTTTTACATATTTCCATCCGTTTGAAACTGACCTGTGGAAGCTTGTTTGAATTTGAGAAAGCTTTCTGCAATAGAAATCTGAACTCCAAATTCCTGTTCCAGAGAGCCTTCAACAAGTAGTGTAAGAGAATTTGTCTTTAAAAAAGAGATAAACAGAAATAATGCGACTCCATTCCTAAAAATAAACTAATAACCCAGATAAACTTTCCTAGAAAAAACCACGCATAATAAAATCAGTGTAATTAGGCAAAAGTATCTCCCTACGAATTAGCAGTTAAATGTGGACCTTTTAATTCACCAGAAGCCCAATCACAGTCGACATGAATTGAAGATGCCATATTCGCATTACAGCGGGAAGATATGATTGTCATTTATTTTTCATTATAAAAAATATATTGACAATTGAAAAAACCAAACACAAATAATTCACAGAATTTCCCTGTCTTCATAAAAATAAGCTTTGACGGCTTCTTTTCCAAAAAACATATTCTCAGAATATATATACATATATTAACCAGAAGTATGCAGTCTGGCTACAAAGATTGCAGAATATACATGAAGATACTGTTAAGAAACATGAAAAATATTGAGATAACAAGACTAAAACTCAGGCCCGCAAAAGCTTTGATCAGTCCTAAGAAGTCACATCCAGCTTTGGAACTTTAAAAGCCTTTTGAGTCTAACACACCTTTTGGTTCTTTATGGCCTGCCCTTTCACAAAGTCTTTATCCTTTTGGCGCTTCAAACCACTCAAGATAGTTCTAGAAAGTAAGCATAGGAGAAATCAGACATGGAAAATTCAATACTTCTCAAATATTTACATTTCACACATGAAACCGTACAGATACTGATGTCAAAAGAGGAAAAGCGACCACAAGGACGTTAAAGAAACCACTAGATTTATGAAACGTGGTAGCATTATCAGCAGAAAATTAAGTGAAACAAAGAGGGTTCTTCTTTGATCATACTGCTCCTGATGCCGGAGATTCTCGTACTCCTTCTCTAGTTCTTCCATCTCCGCACCCCCATGGTTCAGCTTCAGCCTCCTACCACCGCTTGTATCTTTCTCACTGTCCTCTTGGTGGTCGTCGCCCTCCTCAGGGGCACTATCACTTTCTTTTCCATCATCGTCGCCCTCCTCTTCTAGGGCTTTATCACTGCCCTCTTCATCCTCGTCACCCACATCTCCCAGGGCATTGTCGCTGTCCCATAGCTGGATAAACGAACCCCAGAAGGCCAACCAAGAGAACCAAAAGAAAGAAACTCAGATAAACTCCAGTCGACAAAGACGATGGAAGGGGGGGAACTAAAAACTTACCGAGTCACTCTCGCCGTCGTCGCCACTAGAAATTTCTTCATCTTCGTCCTGCTTCCCTACATTAAACAGGGCGTTTTCCTCTCCAGGCTCGTCATCTTCCACAGGCCGGCGCTTCCTCTTCGGAGCCGAACCCATCTAATCGACGCCGCCTGCAACGGCAACCAGAAGAACAGAGGAAACCCGCCGACGAAGGGCGGCGCGTTTTTTCGCAAAAGGGGGGAGAATACGAAGGCGGCAGTGGGACGACAAAAACGGGTAGGAATATGAGCCTACTTCCGGTGCCTGATACGGCCCATCTAATCTGTACTGGGCCGGACCCCTATAGTCTGCTTTATAGGCTGGACCATCTCATAGGTTGGGCGGGCCCAATTTGGGGTTTGGGCCCGGTCCATCTACTAACAGGTAGACGCCTCGGGGGACGACGCGAGAAAAGCGACCCACATTCGGCGGAGACAGAGATCCCAACTTTATTAGACAGCATTCGGAGAGCACGGCCCCTCGTTTAATCTTTTTCAGGGAATGTAGTACATGGCATTCGGGAGCTTGAACGATCGCTCGCCGGTCGAGAGGCCTACGAGGTCGCTCCACTGGTCCCCGGAGTTGCCGAGAATCCGGTATCCTTCGCCGACGATCTCACCCCTCTTCTGGGACTTGTAGCCCACCGCAGTCTTCCCTCTGTCGCTCACGTCCCTGATGATGATGATGATGATGATGAGGAGAAGAAGAAGAAGAATGATCAGGGAACCGCTGAGGAGAAAGGAATTTTGAAAGGGATTGAGAAAGATGCTGAGGGGTTGTGGATAATAAGAATTGGGGTATTTGATGGTTGCCAGATGAAAAGATACAGGATGTGAACCTCAGAAGAAGTTTATCCCAGCTCTGAAACCCAGCCCTCTCCAGGTTGTCGACAGTGACGCTCCTGTGGGCCTCGCTCCGTCCCGTCAGCAGGATTATCTTCAAGCCCAACTCCAGAAGGGCATTGTAGAGCTTTAAGCTGGGCTCTATTGCCGGAGCACGAGCCTTCTCCACCCATCTGTCGAACTGATGGCCGTCGAAAACCTCCGAGCTTCATGGTGGAATAAATTGGTAAGCAACCGCACCAACGAGTGTAAAAAATTCATACCGTGGGAATACCCATCGAGAAAGAGAACAAGTGTGGCGAGAAAGAAAGTGGTTCATTGCAGATGATCATCACGGGCATCTCAAAAATCTTTTCCTACTCGAAGAGAACCAGGCAATATCAGATAAAGAGAGCAGCATTCGATCGCTAAAACAGCCGAAAACATGACGTCCATAAATGATTCTGCAAGAAGTTCGTCTCTGACTTCTTTGCCTAAAATATGTCAAGATCTGGAAGCTCCCCACCAGAGAAACATAAGAATTTATAGATGAGATGTTCTCCGACGGAGAGGGAATTTAAAGATGATAATAGTGACATTGCTCTTATTTAAGTAAGACTTCTGCAGCAAACTCTTCATCCTATATCGTCTCCAAGGCGGCAAGTCTGAGCCTGCTTTAGGGTTCTCAAGATAGTTTGGAAAGATTTGGTTCTTGGAACTTGCGCACCCACAAAGTCAGAACAAAACAATGCCTCGAACGCCAAAAAGATGGATCACGATCTGCAAACATAGCGTGGCCATTAAAACGCTCGCTGCACCAAAACTTGGCGAAACTCAATTCATTATGGAAGCAATTTTAGCGACAGACGCGGTATGTTACCAAAAAGATCACAGAAGCGAAGTCCAGATTCTCAGAACTTCTTCGGGCGCCAGATCATCATACAGTTTTAAAATGGCAGGATGATAACTTGTTGCACTGAAACACAGCTTGCCGAGAAGATCACAGAATCTGTTCCATTCCAGTTTCACGGAACCATTACTACTGTTTTAAGTACACTAGAAAGAAGCAAAGTAAATTAGGGAGCACCGGCTAGGTTTAGGCAGTGGACAGGGCAGAGGGACAGGGTCAATAAGCCACCTTCACTTCTCTGCGACTTCCCACCCTTTTCAGGGTGAGTAGGATCAAACCAAAGTATTCTCAAATGAAAACTCCTCCAAAAAAGGAAAACGACACAGCGAGGCAATATCCTTATCTCACTCTCCGGATATCTCTTTCATTTTCAGCTCCTTTCTACATCATTTCACTCGATGCGCCGCGCAATGCTAGTGCCATTGCTCCATAGAAAGATACACAACCAGATGCCCAAGATCTGGAAACTGCCAGAAGTTTGGGATGCTCCAGTGCTGGCTATCCCATGGATCTACTGGTAGCTGTCGAGAGAGAGCATCACAGTGTAGAAGCCAAAAGAAGGTGTATCAAAAGCACTGAGCAGAGACCTGCATGTAATCTCACCCAAAAACGCCGACGAGTGGAAAGATATGCATGACTAACGGGTGAAGGAGAGCAAGTCTCTGAAGGTGATGGAAACGCTTGAAGGAAATGTCGCCCATGTGACCGTATATACGACAATTAAGAAGCCTATAGAATACCCACAACGGTCAAGAATGCTGCCCAAATATGTGAGGAAATCGAAAAGAAGGCGGCAGTTGCAACTACGAAGGCAACAAAAGTCGAGCATCAAGCATCCGCCGCCCCATCTGGGACTGACTCAAATGGAACCATGCGGATCACTTGGGCCAAATTCACCAGGGCAGATTCACCGATTAAATTCCTGGTAGAAGAACATCCAGAGAAAAAATCCACGCAGCTTGACCTGGAATTTTCTAATTAGTGGGCTCAGGATTTATGAAGAAAATATGAAAGGTAACCATCACAAGCACAACTTTCCTCAATGAAGTTACCAAGCACACTGGTATGGAATAATGATGCCGTTGATCGAGTATGCGATGGCTTAGAAATCTGGGAAAAAATTGATTCCATCGCAAAACACGGCCATGGGCAATCCCAAGTCCGGAGATCAGAAAATTTCAGATGAAGCAGATAAGCACAAGCCATTTCGTACGGAGGTCCGGTTACTCCTATTGGGCAAGGGAATGCGAATTGAAGACCTCACCCGTACTGATGATCGGCATAGTAAGGGAGGTTAGAGAGCAAGGTCTCGTCGACGTCGAATACCCAGGCGTCCCTGCCGTCGCCGGCGAGTAAGATGCCTTTGGCATAGGCGCCGGCCTCCTGGGCGACCATCTCCAGGTCGAACTCATACGCCTTCCCAGTCATGTAGGCCTTGACGTACCCTGCGCACTCCTGCGGCACCGTCTTCCACGGCGCCAGGTTGTTGGCCTCCCCCGCCACCCGCCAGCTGTCACATCGGAGTCGACTCTCATCCTGATCCTGCCAGGAGGAGGACCGGAACGCCGCCCCTTCCCCATGATCCGAAGAACTAGCCGAGTGAGACGAGGGATACTCAATTATGAGAGGCCTGGGGAGGAAGTGGCCATCATCGGGGCCGAGCTTGGCGTCGTGAGGGGCCGCCCCCGAGTACAAAATGAGGACGAGGAGGAGAGGGAGGAGAAAGAGGGCTCTCATCGCTCGCAAAGGGAAAATGACAAGAAGAGCCACCAGGGAGCACTGGACGGGGAAGATGACGATGAATGCAGGGTCGGTGGAACACCTTGTGATGAAGAATCGTTCTCTGAGAGGGTGGGCTGCTTGGTCCAGCGGCAACGGCGGGTGGCGCCGGCAGGGTTGGAGATAGGGGTAACGTGCGAGGATTGAGATGAGATGCCCCAGTCACGGAGAGAGAGAGAGAGAGATGGTGATGACGATCGCCGCAACCCGCCCGAGGGAGAGCAACCTTTCCTGCAACTCCGGGGAGAGAGAGAGAGAGCAACAAATCCTCGAGCTCTCTTCTGCCGTGGTCGAACGTGAGACGGCGATCGCCAATTACGACCCGACACGGCGAGTCATCGACCCCGCCACTCGGAACGCGTTTTCTCGCGCGGTACCTGTGAAGTTTTGCGATGCATAATTATTCATAAAGTTACGCATACCCGTAAAGTCTTTTGTTAGACCGTCTATTTTTTGGAGGTCTTTTCAATAAAATGTTCTCTTAAAAAAAAATGCTATTTCCTCCAGCTAATTGCCGTGCACATCCCGTTCAGGGACATTTCGACAATATAGGAGCCCCGGCAGATTCCTGCCCGGTGTATGAGGGGCTTGATGCAGCCCAAACCCTGAAGCCCACTACTTAAGAAGCCTGAAGCCCAGTATTGATGCACCTTGAAGCCCATTATCATTGCATCTTCAAGCCCACTTTACTTCACTGGCCTAATTACGAAATTAAGCTCATATATCTATTTTTATTATTTTTCAAATTTCATCTGAAATTCAAATTTCAATTTCAATTTTAAATTCAAAATTTAAATTTTCGTTTGAAATTTAAATTTCATCCGAAATTCAAATTTTTGCCAAAATTTGATTTCAAATTTAGATTTTATTTGAAATTTAAATCCTAGTGCCCAAATTAACACTCTTTAGCCTATTTAAAAGCAGCCCCTATAGCCCCAGAGGCATATGACCTTTTTTTCAATACAATTTTGTGAGTTTTCTTCTCTTTAAGTTCTCTTTCTACTAGTGGACTCCAACATTCTTGTGGACTCAAGGAACTTGTTATTGATTCTATGGATTCAGAATCACCCCCCCCCCCCTTTGTGGACTCAAGGGACCTATCTTCTTCTACTTGTGGATTTAGAGTGAAGGGACAACCATTAGAGCACGTTTTTCAAAGATTTAAGATGTGTCTTCAACCTCCACAACATTAGAATTGATCACAACTCATTCAAGCCATTCTCTTCTCAACTTTCGTTGTGTCAAGTAGTGTTAGAGCAAAGTCAACATTCCAAATTCAGATTTACAAGATGTCATGAGGTAAAGGGATTCACATCAATGACAATAAAAGTTTCAAGATATCTCCTATTTCAAAATCAAAGTTTGTTGATTTCAAAACTCATATGGAACAAAAATGTGAATATTTGAATGACACTTTGAAGCAAATCTTAGCATGAATGTCTGCAATGAAATGTCAATCTCATGGTCAAACGAGTCAAAAGTAAAATATTTTTTGTAATTTCTCACTTAAATATTTATCAAATGATACTTGAAGCTCAAAAAGTAGATCTGATTATGATGATTGCAAAAATTTCTCAACAAGCTCAAATGATGCATGAAATTAATTGCCTATAAACTCAAAGGTGGAGCCTCTACCTAGTGGGATCAACTATAATTCACTTGTGTAAGATCAAGAAAAGATCAAGTTCAATGTTGGGATAAGATGAAGAAATTATTAAAATCTAGATTTCTTCCTCCTAATTATGAACAGGTTTTATATCACTAATATCAAAATTATAAATAGGGAAGTAGATCTATCACAGAATATACTGAGGAATTTTATAGATTGTCTTTAAGAGTTGATTTGACTAAATCTAAATCTTATATAATCTATAGATTTAAAAGTGGACTTCAATGGGATATTGAAGAAAAGGTTACTTTACAATCATTTTTCAAGTTAAATGATGTTATTATGGCATTAAAATGTGTTGAAGCCTTATTAGATAAAGAAAAATTTAGAACTCGAAATTCTACTAATGTGTCGACGTTTCAATTAAATAGGTCAAGACCAGTACATATTTCATCTACTATCAATAATAGAAGATCGGCAACCTTAGTTGCACCAAGACCAAGTGAATATATTCCTAGTGGGCAAAACTCTTTTCAAAGGAATCCATATGTACCTAACTCTATTGCAAAATATTACAGATGTAATGAAGAAGGTCACAAATCAAATACTTGTCCAAAACATGGTGCTGTGAATTTCACCAAAGTTATAGATGAAGATGAAATTGAGAGTGCAGAAGATTAGGAAGAAATCCAAGAGAATGTTATTGAAAGCAAAGAAGAAGAACCCTTTGCTCACTCCTTAGTCATTCGAAGGCTAATGTATGCACCAAAGAAGGAAGAACCTCTACAACGTCATAATGTTTTCATAACAAAATGTACTATTGATGAGAAGGTAGGTGATGTGATTATTGATTCTGACAATAGTGAAAATATTATTTCTTCTTTGATGGTACAGAAATTGGGGTTGAAAACTGAAAAACATCAACATCTATATAAAATTGAGTAGATAAAGAAGAATTATGAAACTAGAGTTATGGAGATTTATTTAGTTAAGTTCTCAATAGGAAAAGTTTATTTTGATGAAATTTATTGTGATGTTGTTGAGATGGATGACTGTCATCTAATTTTTAGTAGATCATGGCAATATGATTTAGATGCAACTCACCTAGGTAGAAATAATCATTATGGTTTTTACAAAAATAGTGAGAAGTTTGTTTTATGTCTAATAAAAGAAAATGAATTTTTCAACACAATTAAAGAAAAGAAGAAACAAGTTATGATGATTGACAAAAATGAACTTTTTAATACTTTGAAAGAAAATTCTGAAGTATTTATGTTGATTAAAAAAGATGATGTTTCTTTGCATGATTCTTGTATTATACCTAAGGCAGCATAGAATATGTTAAATGAGTTTTTTATCATACAATATTCTTCTATAACTTTTCCTCCACTCAGGGACATACAACATCATATAGACTTGATTCTTGGAACAAGTTTATCAAATTTACCTCATTACAGAATGAGCCCTAAGGAGAATAATATTTTACAAGAACAAGTTTAAGAATTATTAGAGAAAGGATTAATTCGTGAAAGTATGAGTCCATGCTCAATACCTACATTATTAGTTCCAAAAAAAGATGGAACCTGACAAATGTGTATAGATAGTTGAACAATTAATAAAATCACAGTGAAATACAGATTTTCAATTCCAAGATGATGATATGCTTGATATGTTGTGTGGTTGTAGAATCTTCTCCAAAATTGATCTTAAAAGTGGGTATCATTAAATTTGAATTCGTCTAGATGATGAATGGAAGACTGCTTTCAAGATGAAAGCATGATTATATGAATGGTTGGTTATGCCATTTGACTTATCTAATGTTGTGAGTATTTTTATGCGAACGATGAATCAAGTACTGAAGCCTTTCATTGAAAAATTTGTTGTTGTCTATTTTGATGATATTTTGATATACAGTACCACAGAGGAAAAACATCATCATTATTTGAGATCTGTATTAATTATTTTACAACAAAATGAGTTATTTATCAACTTGAAGAAATATAAATTTCTTACTTCAAGTTTAGTTTTTATGAGATATGTCATATGTGTAGATAGCATCGAAGTAGATGAAGAAGAGGTTGAAGCTATTAAAGATTGGCTAATTCTAAAAAGTATAGATGATGTTCGTAGTTTCCATGGCTTAGCATCTTTTTATAGAAGATTTATTCGAACTTTCAGTTCAATTATAGCTCCCATCACTGAGTGCATGAAAAGAGAAAACTTTCAGTGGATAGATGTAACAAATAGAAGTTTTATTCTAATTAAAGAAAAATTAAGTTTTGTCCCTATACTAACACTATCAAATTTTGATAAATTATTTAAAGTAGAATGTGATGCCTCAATTATTAGAATTGGAGTTGTATTATCCTAAGAAGGTCGTCTAGTAATTTCTTATAGTGAGAAATTAACAAAAGCTAGAAGAAAGTGAACTATATATAAGTTAGAATTTTATGATGTGGTTAGATCATTACATACTTGGGAACACTACTTGATTCAATAGAAATTTATTTTATTTACTAACTATCAAGCTTTGAAATCAGTCAATAGTGAGACCACTATCAACATAATAGATGCTAGCTGGATTTCATTTATTCAAAAGTTTTCTTTTGTGATAAAGCACAAATCAAGAAAATCAAACAAAGTGGCTGATGCATTGAGTCAAATATCAATATTTATGATTATAATGAGAGGAGAAGTTAGTGGTTTTGAATATTTGATAGAACTCTATGTAGGAAATAAATATTTTGTTGAAATATGATATATGTGTAAACAAGACAAATCATCTAAAAGATTTCATATTCTTGAAAATTACTTATTTCAAGAAAATCAATTATATATCCCTCAAATTTCTTTGCTTGAGAAGTTAATTCAAGAATTACATGTAAGAAGACTTAGGAGGCACTTAGGCCATGACAAGACTTTGAAAATGATGGAAGAATAATATTATTGGCCACAACTTAAAAAAGAAGTTGAAAGTTTTATGTGAAGATGTCAAATTTGTCAAGTTAATAAAGGACAATGCCAGAACACAAGTCTGTACACTCCACTATTTATTTCGGATAAAATATGGACTGACATTTCTATGAATTTTATTTTAGGATTATCACGTACTTAAAGAGGAGCAGATTCTATTTTTGTGGTTGTAGATAGATTCTCAAAGATGGCATATTTTATTTTATGTAAAAAGGGTAATGATGCCATTCAAGTAGCAAATTTATTTTTCAAAAAAATAATTATTTGTATGGAATGCCTAAGATTATTATATCTGACAAAGACTCAAAATTTCTATCCCATTTCTGATGTACTCTTTGGAACAGATTTGGCTCATGCTTAAAATTCAGTACTACAAGTCATTTACAAATTGATGGGCAAACATGAGTGATTAACATGACACTTGGTAATTTAATTCGTTGTATTTCAAGAGACAAACCAAGACAATGGGATTTTGCCTTAGCTCAAGTAGAATTCGCATACAATTCTATGATAAATCAGTCTACAAATTACTCTCTATTTTCTATTGTCTACTATTTTCCACCAAAAGTCCCTCTTAACTTAATTGAAGTACCAAGAAAACTTGATACTAACATAGTAGTAAATAACATGATAGAATACATCCAAATAATACATGAGAATGTGAAGAAGTATCTCATAACTAATTATACAAACTACAAAGAAAAGATAAATAAAAAAAAAGAAAGAAAATCTTTGAAGTTGGTGATTTAGTCATGACATACTTGAGAAAATATCGATTGCCAATAAGAAATTATCACGAACTGAGTCCACATGAAAGTATGGTCCATTTAAAGCCCTTCAAAAGATTAATGACAATGCATATGCCATTGACGTACTAGAGACAATGAGAATATTATCTACATTCAATGTTATAAATATCTATGAATATTATCTAGAGCAAGTTATAGACTCCAAGACGAGTCCTTTCAAGAAGGGGAGACTGAGGCAGCCTAAACCCTAAAGCCCACTATTAAAGAAGCTTGAAGCCTAGTATTGATGCACCTTAAAGCCCATTATTGTTGCAGCTTGAAGTCCGCTTTACTTGATGCACCTTGAAGCTTATTATTGTTGCATCTTCAAGCCCACTTTACTTAACTGGTCCAATTAAGAAATTAGGCTTATATGTCTATTTTTATTATTTTTCGAATTTCATCTGAAATTCAAATTTCAATTTCAATTTAAAATTTAAAATTTAAAATTTTGTTTGAAATTTAAATTTCATCCGAAATTCAAATTTTTGCCAAAATTTGATTTCAAATTTAGATTTCATTTGAAATTCAAATCTTAGCACCTAAATCAACACTCTTTAGCCTATTTAAAGGCACCCCCTTTAGCCCCAGAGGATATTACCTTTTTTTCAATACAATTTTCTGAGTTTTCTTCTCTTTAAGTTCTCTCTTTCTACTAATGGACTCCAACATCCCTGTGGACTCAAGGAACTTGTTCTTGATTCTATGGATTCAAAATCACCCCCCCTATCTGGACTCAAGAGACCTGTCTTCTTCTACTTATAAGTTTAGAGCGAATGACAACCAGTGGGGCATATTTTTCAAAGATTCAAGATGTGTCTTTGACCTCCACAACATTAGAGTTGATCACAACTCGTTCAAGCCATTCCCTTCTCAACTTTCGCTGCGTCAGGGCTTCTCCGATCAACTTGCAGCTGCCCACAGATGGAGGTGCTGCAGGGCAGCCAGAAGCACCAGTTATCAAGGTCGATGAGAAAAGCCGTAGATGCCAGAGGAAGGAGCGGGGGAAGTGGAGACAGGCCTCTACTACCCGCGCTTCTTCTTCCTCCGACCTTGAGATGGATTGAAGGTCACTGTGCCGCACTAAACGAGGGCAGAGCGGGAATAAGAGAGGAGAGCCGCCTTTCGACGGGGTCGTCATTCTTAGAAGATGCTTGAAAGTTTTCCATGCACAGGGGCAGGCAGAATGGCTTACAGATAAGACAGGAGCGTATTCTCCCGTTGCTGCGTCTGCTCCGCGGAATAAGGGGGACAGAAAGAAAGAAAGGGGAGGGGCTTCTTTCCACAGCTTCAACCTCGGCTCCCCTCAGCAGGCAGGGATGCCCACCACACCACACAGATGCTCCGCCTCCAGGGAGCACTTTTCCTTGCCGAGCATCTCCCCCGGCGAGTGTCGGGAGTGGAGGCGGAGCCAGAGGCAAGAAGAGAACCGCGCCAGTGCTGCCTGCCCGGCAAACTGTACTCGGTAGACGATGCCCACCTCTGCCCACAAGCGGTTCTGGAGGAGCCTTGGGACCTCACCATCCGTGTAGCCGTCCAGGTCGGACTCCGACACGACCACCGCGGAGCTGTCGTCGAAGGACACGAGCTTCCAAGGAGCGGCCGCGGGGGCCGGCGTTCTGCCGACCGGGTTGTCCATGCAGATGGGCCTTCCCGTCTTCACCACTCTTCGTTCGTAGTATTCTTGAACAGCCTGCACAAAGTATTAAGCAAGCCAAAAAACCAGACAACATTTTCAGTTGGAGATAGTTCCCATCTGTGTCGTGTTTCCTAGAAAGGGAGACTTCTCTCTCTCTCTCTCTCTCTCTCTCTCTCTCTCTCTCTCTCTCTCTCTCTCTCTCTCTCCCTCCCTCCCTCCCTCCCTCCCTCCCTCTCTCTCTCTCTCTCTCCCCCTCCCTCCCTCCCTCCCTCCCTCTCTCTCTCTCTCTCCCAAGCAGCCGGAGACAATATTTGGCAATCGACTCATCATCCACTGGTCCGAACATCACCACAGCCGAGTCAAAAAAAAGCAAAAAAACTAACCCCCCAAAGATTAGATATAATCCTCCAAACATGGAATCAAATTCCAAAATGGGTTCCCGAATTGCCAGCTAGACTCTGATCCACTGATCAACTCAGAATCGGCGGACTCCGGCAGAGGTGGCCAGCCAAGGAGTGTTTGAAGATAGATAACTGGGCATTGGGATCCCTCGAAAATCATCTTGGGCTTCCCCATTCCCACCGAAGATCCGATTTCCAACCAGATCACTCTCAGGACATTTGGCATTCTCCTACCCTGATCTTGTTCCTAATACAACCAAAACTAGTTTCTGTGACATTGGCAGTCCTGGAGAAGACAGTTGCTTCAGAAGAATAGAATAAAAGGGAGACTATTAAAAAGGTGAGGCTAGTAAGCACCTGCCACTGGGAACGGGCAAGGAGAACTCTGGGTCTGCTCACCCTGACGTACTCATACGCCGCCATGGGGGTCATCTGCCGGTGCTGCATCTGCAAGGGAAAAATTAATTCTTGAAACTTAGGATTCTTGATGTAATGTTATAACTGCTCTTCGAAAGACTGTTTGACAAACCAGGTAACAGAGAACGATGGTCGTGCTGCGTCCACGGCCTGCTTTACAGTGAACGTAAGTTGTTTTCCCACCCGTTGCATTTTCTTCAGAAAATGTAGGGAAATAAGAATACATTAATGATGAAACACAAAAGTTTTGAGAAAACATCCAAAACTTCCAGCATTTCAAGTCCTCTGCGGGATTTCCACAGCCAATCAGATCGCGTAACGTTTAGGTATAAAATAATTTCTCATGAGGATGATCCATATACATGAAAGAATCTCAACGTGAAAACGAGAGGAACAAATGAGACCTAGAGTACTATTTCTATGAACAAGTGAGGGGATTCAACAGGGACTGTTGGGTAACAAATCATCTTTGCTCTTGACTTCAACTCCATATCCCTTCATAAAATTGTCCTGTTCCTGGTTCCATTTATCATTTATTTCATCCTCATAGGTTAAAAAAAACAGATCAGCCTAGAATGAATCTGTTCCAGGGCTTATTTTTCGTGCTATGTAAATGGAAGAAAAATGTAATAGGAAGGTAGTAGGTCAAAAAATGTATAACCACCTGTGCATACAAATACTTACTCTCAATGAAGTCAACGGCTCTACATATATCTCCGAAGGATGGTGCAAATAGGTAATCTCTGGTAGGGAGAACCAAGTTCTCAATCCCATGAGCCTGTAATAGAAAGGTTAAAAGTAAATTATAAAGCAAACAGAAATGAATAAACAAACAGAGATAGTCATTGTTAAAAAGAAAGGCAATTAAAAAATAATGGGCACTATTTCCATGAGGCCATTCACAACGAATATACAAGAGATCTTTTCGAGATCCTTTAAAAATTAGTTATGCTTAAAATAAAGGCAACCCATAGCACCATTGTTCCATACTTTTATGACGCAAAAATTTGAACCACCAAATATAATTGTAAGGCCTCCCCCTCCAAAAGGGTCCGGTAAATCAAAAAAATAAGAATTGAACCTTTCCATAATATAAACTAACTGAGTCGCACGAAAGGAAGAATATCATATGTATGCTCATGTAAAGTGAGAACAATACCAAAGCTTGTAGAAATTAAGCAATATAAAATCATCATAGCCCTATATCACACTTATCCAAAGTGTGAAAATATTATAATCCAGTGAGGAAAATAGGAAAGCCATGAACGACAATAACCTAGGCAAACTTCAAAATAGAAATACTTCACGATTTCAAACAAAGTTGGAGGGTGCTAGAATAACGAACTAGAATATCACGAGGAGATATACCTTAGATTCTTTGAGGTCTTATTTCCATATTTTTCATGAAGCCTCTATTCAGCAACAATTCAACTCGTGGCTCACTCTTGAAGATAGTATCATCGGATTCAATTTTCGTTGATATATTTCCTTTTTGTGAAGGGTTTCATAATTTCATTGAAAAAAAATGTCTCAGTGGAAATGTCTCAGTGTAATTTTTCGCCTAATAGAAATGTCTCAGTGTACTTATCTTCCAATTCTGCAGTGGTGATATACCGACTCGCAGTTGAATAGCACCATTTGCTACCACGCGAAATACAATAAAATACATTATCTCCTTACATCAACGCGACTCATCATAGATCCCAGGTAAAAAAGTTATGGAAAGGAATGCAACCTAAACTGAAACAGAACTTGGGCCATCACTAGGAACCTGGGTTGCCATGTGCGTACTTCAGTGTTATACATCTTTTAAAAGGAAAAAAATATTACTTTATAATGCCATCTTCGACAGACAATACATTGTGAGATTAAAAAAAATCCTTACTAGATATAATGAGGTAGGGACCAAGGTCTCATATGGCTCGTTCATAGTGATGACTCCAGAAACACCAAGTTGCTTTAAACGAGGAACATCAGTGGGGAATGGAACAGCACCTAACAGCAAAAACTGGTAGCAGAGGGATCAGTAAATTATAACACATTACTTCATGAGAAAAAGCATGCAAGATTCCAGCAAGTAGAACGCGCCGGAGAACGAAGGGGGAGGGGAAAGCGAAAAATTACCAGACGCCAGAGAAGGAAAGAAAGGAGAAGATAGAATTTCAAGGGAATCACCTCGTCGACCTCGTCCCACCAATGGAATTCCGACTGAATCTTGTTCCTGAGGACGTTGTAAAGCAGGGTTGGGTAGAAGAGGACCCGAGCCCCCACCCCTACCACCGTCTTCTTCCTGGTGCCAGCTTCTACCCCGGACTGCTGTAAGGTGGCGAGCACCCCGGTCTCCTTCTCCTCTTCCCCCTTGAACTCTTCAATATGCATCCTCCCGTCGGATAACCCACCCAGGACAGAACCCTCCTCTTTCCACCCAATTTCCCCTCTTCTGAGAGAACTCGCTTTAGGAACTGTTGATTGCATCCAAAAAGAGACAACTACCAAGGCTTCTAGGTGGGGGAGCAAACCCACGGTGAAGAACAGATACCTCCTCGGTCTGGGTCAACATTTGCGTGACGGAGCCCAAAAATTTCAGTCAGATTGGAATCCCGCTTGCGCCAGACGCCAATAACAGAGGTCGGAGCAAGAAATTGATCGTCTGAGACCGGAAAGGGAGGATCAGGTGCTCCAACAGCGGGGAGAGCGGAGGATTCCTCTCCCAGAAAGCAATTCGTCACCGTCCCCTAACCTTGTGGCCGCAAATTTCAAAGAAGTAACAGGCTATCGCTTTCCTTCCCTCGCCTCCCAGTCGCGGCGTGATGTATCAAAGGGTCGAGGAGATAACACATCCACCCCCAGCGATCACAAGCTCCTGTATAACCATTATAAAGTAAAAGAACATTATTCATACCCATTTAATATATTATTTTCTTATACACCTTTCTCATTCGACCTTATCCTTCTCTTTCGCATCAAGATAAAACTATTTTTAAAAAATAATCAGTAGAAACAGTCAAATGAGCAACCTTTAAAAGATATATATTAGATAAAAAGTTTTAGATATATGAAAACCGAACCTTCTACGGGTGGCATTGACCATGCCCCCACGCAAGCCTTTGAGTAGGTCAACCTTCATGGGTGGCTATTTTTTTAAAATAAACTAATACCCCATGGCGAAGATCGAGCCGTCCAACCGCATTCACTGGGTATTTATGACACCATGATTAGTTGACCTGGTCGATAGAACTCCCACCAGCTGTACGTCAATGGGGGCCCCAAGTGGTTCGGACTCGATCGAGCCGGAACCCATTTCGGAGCCACCTCTCTCTCTCTCTCTCTCTCTCTCTCTCTCTCTCTCTCTCTCTCTCTCTCTCTCTCCCTCTCTCTCTCTCTTTTCTCGCAGGGCTATAGGATTCCTCCCCCCGTCGTCGCGGGACGTTTCTACCTCCTCAAATCGGCCCATTTACAGTCATGGCGAGCGGCGAGGACAAGTGCAGCCTCACCGCAAAATGGCTGGCTGGTAAAGGAAAGCTTCTGCCTCAGGCGGCGAACGCTCTACTTCCCGGCGTGTTACGGCGACCGCGCTCCCCCGCCGACCTCCTTATGGAATCGATCCTCTGCAGCCTGATCTGCTCCCTGAACTTGGCGATGAACTCGTCCGCCTTCTTGTCAACCTCGTCCACCTCCGCCGCCGGGGGCCTGCCCCCGCATTCTGAGCCTACGCTATCGTCGTCGTCCGCGTCGTCTCTGTCGGAATCGTCGTCGTCCGTTACGACGACGAATTTATCTTCGATCGCATTCACTTCCTCGTGCGCTTCCTTCTTCCCGTTCTGGGATTCCTCCGCTGGGGCAGGCGTTGAGAAGGGGAGTAGGTCGTGCTGCGGCGGCTCCGGCGACCAGCCCAGCAGATCCGGCCCTTGCGCCGCCGCCTCTTTGGGCCTGGCTGTTCTTCTGATCGGCTTGACCGGGGAATAGCCCTCGACGACGATCCTAGGCCCCGGAGAGCCCAGATTAAGCAATCGAGGGGGGGGCGGCGGCGGTGGCGGCGGCGGTGGCGGCGGCTTACAGACGGTTTTTCTCTTTCCGGAGTCCTCATAGGTTTTCTTCTCCCTCAGGTCCAGCGAAAGCCCAGCTGGGAGGAGCGGTGGAGGTCTGGAGGTGCTCCCGAGAGAAAAGGAAGGCGGAGATGCTTCTCCTCCTGACGACATCTTCTCGGACCTCGGCTTCCGTAGAAT